ATAAATATATATATATACATATATATATATATATATATTATGATTGTCGGCATGTTATATTTAGTAAGGACATGTTTGGATAAATTTCTTCCAAAATACTTATAAGAGAAGAAATAGAAAGGAAAAATGAAATTAACTTCTTAATAAACTAAATTTAGCTTATGATAATAAGTTTAAAAAAAATGGAGTTCATATAAGAAAGCTTTTACAAATTAGTCTATGCATAAGTTAATTTTAGCTTATAAAAAAGTTATTTTTTTTTTCTCATACAAGTCTTTGTAGAAAAATTTATTCAAACATGTCTAAAGTGGACTTTTGGGCATTGTTTGAGTTTAGTGGGGTACTTAACTAGCTTGCTTCTGTTATTTGGAGAAAAATGTCAACATAGTAAATTTTAATCAAATTTCATATCCTATTTTTTGACTGTGCTATTTGCTATTTGTTTGTGGCATAGCACTGTTCTGACGAAGCTAGCACAACAAGGCCACTTATAGTCGTCACTGCTTCTGTGGATAAGATTGTACTGAAAAAGCCAATTAGTGTTAACACTGATCTCAAAATTGTTGGTTCTGTTATATGGGTTGGGCACTCCTCAATAGAGATTCAACTGGAGGTTACTCAGTTCAATGAAGGTGCATTTCTTAGGGCGTACATATATCTCGCAATTTGCCTAATTGATGGTTTTACTCATAACAGTGTTCATGATGCTGCATAGCCCTTAGAGCAAAAAGTTTCTCATGGCATCCTCCACATAACAATTTTACAAACCTTCATAATAGAATAAGAACATGTTTGGGTAAACTTGTCTAAAAACACTTCTAGGAGAGGAAAAAATAGGAAGACAAAATGAAATAAGTTTCTCCATAAGATAATAATTATCTTATGTATAAATTTGTAAAAGCTCTCTCCTGTTAGTTTCTTTAAAATCTTATTTTTAACTTATGCATAAGTTAGTTTTAATTTATAAAAACCCTATTTCAATTTTTCTTCTAGTTTTTCTTTTTTATAAGTGTTTTTGAAAAAGTTTATCCAAACAGGCTTTAATCTCATTTTCATTTTTTAATTTCCTTTGATACTTATTATTTTCTTTTACATATTTTAACCACAACTAATGCATTGTCAAAATACATGCAGAGGGCAATGATTCAGACTCAGTAGCACTAACAGCCAACTTCATATTTGTTGCTCGTGACTCAAAAACTGGGAAAGCTGCTCCAGTGAATCGACTTTCACCCGAAACTGATCATGAAAAACTTCTTTTTGAACAAGCTGAAGCAAGAAGTAATTTGAGAAAAAGGAAAAGAGGAGGGGAAAAGAAGGACTTTGAGAATGGGGAAAAAAATAGACTTAAGGCCCTATTGGCTGAAGGAAGAATCTTTTGTGACATGCCAGCTTTAGCTGACCGAGACAGCATTCTTCTAAAGGATACCAGCCTTGAGAACTCTTTGATTTGCCAGCCACAGCAAAGAAACATCCATGGTCGAATATTTGGAGGTTTCTTGATGCATCGTGCATTTGAATTGGCTTTCTCAACAGCTTATGCCTTTGCTGGATTAGTTCCTTGCTTTCTAGAAGTTGATCATGTTGATTTCCTAAGACCTGTGAGTATTTTCTCTCCATTCTTTTAAAAATATCAAAATTTGACTGTTACATGATTCTGTATTATGTGCACAGTTGGCACAGTCTTTGTAACCAATTTGAATTCAACAACAGTTACGTGCCAAAAAATTGATACACAAGTTACAAATTGTTTGAATTGACATCCAAAATAGAGTAATTTCTCTGTCACTTGTGTTTTGAATTTCTGGTAGAGAGTAAGAGGGGATGGGAAGTATTAATAGGTACAATAGTGTTCCTTTTTTGTGTGAGGGGTGGGGGGAGTGTACAAAATTTAATTTCAGAGTGGTTCTAGGGGCTTATGTTGCCATTCATCCTCCACCTCAAACTTTTTTCACCTGTGCTTTAAGTGTATTGAAAACACAAAAATAATGAAAGCAAACAATTGGCCAGTCTCATTTGTCATAAAATGAACCCTTGAACAGGTTGATGTTGGAGACTTTTTGCGTCTCAAATCTTGTGTTCTGTACACTGAGCTTCACGATCCAGATCAGCCACTTATCAATGTTGAAGTTGTTGCTCATGTCACAAGACCTGAGCTGCGTTCTAGTGAGGTTAGTCTTCACTGAACTTCACCTTATACAATACATAATCATTAGTCAGTTGCCCATTTTCTTAACCTCCAAGTGATTGAAGATTGTAATCATCTTTGTATGTTCTGTTCTTTTATGTGCCCATACAGGTATCAAACACTTTCCATTTCACTTTCACACTACGTCCAGAAGCAAAGGCAATGAAAAATGGATTCAAACTTCGAAACGTGGTACCGGCAACAGAGGAAGAAGCACAGCGCATATTAGAGCGCATAGATGCTGACAACTTGAATGAATTCTTCCGAACATAAGAAGTTAAGTATTTAAAATATTCGCCACTAACTATGTGAGCACAAGTTCTAAGGTTAGCTCTTATATAATAAAACTTTCTGCGTAATGTTTGAGAGCACTAGTGTTTCTTATGTCTATAGCATCATTATACTTGATAGAAGGTAATTGGTGCTTAGACAAGTATATGAACCTGCTCACAAGTCATATCATACATGAAGCAACTTTGTGAACCTAATAGATGTTAGTATGAGGAAAACATAGTAAGTTAGTGACCGAGTGTTTACTTTACAATGAATTATGTCCGATCAATGATGGCTACAGTGAATTGCCACGATTGTTACTGGTTAAGCATATAAAGCTAGTGATATTTATTATATTATTACTTAGAAAATCTTGTTCAGTTAGTTTTACTTTCGAGCAATTTACTTCACCTTCCTCTCTTTATTTCCGTCTCATTTGTAATTAAGGGTTTATTTGGATAATTTTTTTTCAAAAAAATATTAAAAATTAATAAAATTAATTTTTGTATAAGTTAAAAATTAACTTGTACAAGTTAATTTTTTTAAAAAAATTAATATACATTTTTTAACAAATTAGGCTACTTTTAGCGAAGTTTATCCAAATAACCTAAGCATTCCTGGTATCAGGTGCTGCAAATTTAATACTGTATAGAACATGGAATTTGTCTTTTAATTAAAAAAAAATTAAACAGAAATGGCAATAATACATAATCACATATAATATAATACATGATACATCCTTGGGATTGGGAAGGGAAATGAGTTTTATTTTTTACGTAATGGATCTTATTTTTCATTTAATGATTCCACATGCTATTTCTATTAGTTTTTTTAAGGGAAGATAAATATTACTCCCTCGAACTCTCTCTCTCTCTCTCTTTTGAGTTTTGACTCAACTCCCTAGATCTCTTATTATCTGTCACCATGAGATTTTAGTTTCTTTAAAAAGTTAATAAAGCATTATTTTTTTTTTCGTAAATACTTATTTATATCTCACCTAAATACTAATAATTCATAACAGTATTCTAATTTTTTTTAATATAATATTCTGTGCATTATCTAAAAGATATTAGGCGGAGTAAATAGTTCAGTTTCATATGGCTAAATATGGAAATTTACTATCTTAACGAATTCTTAATTTTACGTTTATATTTTTTAGTTTTTAGTAAATTTTCATTAATTCTTTCTTATAAATATTATTCACACGGACTTTTTAATTGATAGTAATTCTATATAATATTGAGTAAATTAAAAAAAAAAAATTGAAAGAGAATCAGAGGTTAAATCATCACAAAATTATGACATACGAAAGGTACAACTTCTATTGTGTCAATTTTTTTTGTACTTGAAATTTAGGGGAAGAGTGGTGTTACAATCTAAGGTAAGGAACACTTTTGGACTTAATTAACACTTGTAGATAAATTATATTTGTCTCACTCTAAAGATACAAAAATAAGCTCAAGTCAATGACTTGTTAAATTCGAGATCACGTCTTACTTGACCAATTCTTTCGGGTTAACCTACACTAGTACTGTATAAATTTTGTAAAATGATGTCAAATATATTTACAATAGGTAAATTATTAATTTAATTGTTAAAATTAAAATTCTCATAAAGTATATAGCCTACAAAATTTTATTTAATTAAAAAAATAATATTTCATTGTCTCGCTTTATTCCAACATATTTGTAATACATGCATAGAGAAGGAATCAAGTTACTTGAAAAATACCTTTAAAATAATCACTCTTCAGCCTAGTGATGTGAGGTTGTGATAGAATACATAGTGTCTTAATCCTGATGTTTTTATTATAATTTCGATGGATAAAAAAAAATTAACTCTTCATCATTGTTATTTATTTTATTTCAATTTAATGGATTAAAAATGAGGTATTCCTAATCATTAGATTGAAAGAAGAAAAAAAAATGCTAAAATAACTCTTATAACATGATCCATGATGGATAACATAAGGCAAAGGTTCATGATATATACACCTCCTTTTTTTTATAAGTACACCTCCTTTTTAAAAAAAATTATAAAATATTATAATTTAAAAAAAAATTTAATTTTGCACTTTCAACTTTCAATTTGCTACTTTCTTCTTCTTATTCACACATTTTTTTCTCTTTCAATTTTCACATGTTACCAAAATAGGTGGGGTGAAGGAAAAATAAGGGGGTGCATGTAAAAATTGAAAAAAGGAGGAAAGATGTGTGAAAAAAAAAGTACTAAATTAAATGTTGTGGATGTAAAATTAAAAAATTTAAAACAAAAAATTAAAAATATTTTAAAATTTTAATTATTTTTTTAAAAGGAGGTGTACTTATAGAAAAAAATTAACACTTGTAGATAAATTATATTTGTCTCACTCTAAAGATACAAAAATAAGCTCAAGTCAATGACTTGTTAAATTCGAGATCACGTCTTACTTGACCAATTCTTTCGGGTTAACCTACACTAGTACTGTATAAATTTTGTAAAATGATGTCAAATATATTTACAATAGGTAAATTATTAATTTAATTGTTAAAATTAAAATTCTCATAAAGTATATAGCCTACAAAATTTTATTTAATTAAAAAAATAATATTTCATTGTCTCGCTTTATTCCAACATATTTGTAATACATGCATAGAGAAGGAATCAAGTTACTTGAAAAATACCTTTAAAATAATCACTCTTCAGCCTAGTGATGTGAGGTTGTGATAGAATACATAGTGTCTTAATCCTGATGTTTTTATTATAATTTCGATGGATAAAAAAAAATTAACTCTTCATCATTGTTATTTATTTTATTTCAATTTAATGGATTAAAAATGAGGTATTCCTAATCATTAGATTGAAAGAAGAAAAAAAAATGCTAAAATAACTCTTATAACATGATCCATGATGGATAACATAAGGCAAAGGTTCATGATATATACACCTCCTTTTTTTTATAAGTACACCTCCTTTTTAAAAAAAATTATAAAATATTATAATTTAAAAAAAAATTTAATTTTGCACTTTCAACTTTCAATTTGCTACTTTCTTCTTCTTATTCACACATTTTTTTCTCTTTCAATTTTCACATGTTACCAAAATAGGTGGGGTGAAGGAAAAATAAGGGGGTGCATGTAAAAATTGAAAAAAGGAGGAAAGATGTGTGAAAAAAAAAGTACTAAATTAAATGTTGTGGATGTAAAATTAAAAAATTTAAAACAAAAAATTAAAAATATTTTAAAATTTTAATTATTTTTTTAAAAGGAGGTGTACTTATAGAAAAAATGAGGTGTATATATCATGAACCTAAGACAAACAATGAAAGAAACAAGACCAATAAAGGCAAAGCCCATATTCTACGAGGCCCACAAAAAATTAAGCTCGTCGCGCCATCTAACCCAATCATATTAAGCACGTATTTTTGATCCCCAAGATAGGATGAGAATTCCCATAACTATTATCAAGCATTCATTATGATAGCTCATTGAATCTGACTTAAGAGAAATTTCTTCTAAGTGCACGGATACAAGTACCAATATTTAGTGTGTTATGATACATAAAAATATATAAATAAATAAAAAAAATAAAAAAAAAACTTGGGTATGGATATTAAGTTAAATATATTTTGCGTATTTCTTATATTTTTTTCTTAATATAGTTGATATTTATATAATTATATCCATCATTAATATATTGTTATTAGTCTATAATCTCTTGCAAAATTTATTAAAAACACATTATCTAACCAAATTTAAATAAGTGTTATAATTCAAGTTGCGATAATAAATAATAAATCTGTGTCGATCCAAAGAAAAAATGTATGAAGTTAAAACATTAAACATTTAATTTCTAGTAGAGCCAAACATATAATACACACTGATATTTTGATACATATTTATCGCTAATTTAAAGCTTCCTTATTCCCGTTGTGCTCAAGTGCAAACCATAAAGGATAATCCATAACTCTGCATGAGTAATAAAGAGATAATGCCCCCAAAGTCAAAAGGCATCTTTACTCAGCAGCCAAATTGGAATCTGTAACCCATCACAGTTTAGTTTCCACCAACCAGGGAAAATTTAAATTAAATGCCTATTCAATTCAACTTATTAAGAAAAAATAATCACTTATTTTTGTCATCTTTTCGAAAAAGAATTTGAATAGACTAACTGTTATACATAACATAACGGCTATTTCACTGAGAAATTCTTGGTGCAAAATCTCGAACTAGGATGACGGTAGGGTAATTCCAATTGCAAGCAAAGGTTATCTCTAATTGAAAAGCTTTGTACATGACTACAATACAATAACCTTATCGTCTTATCGTACATATTCAAGCTTTTTCTCCCCAGAGAAATTTTTTTACTCTACATATATAATCTACATAAACTGAAATCTTTTACAAGAATTTTTACAATGTAACAAGAAAATAAATTACAACAATTTTGGCCAAACCATGTAGGCTCCAACCAATCAAAAATCACCTGGTTCCAGGTTTTAAGGAGAAGATACAGCCAAAAAGTCACTTTCATGAAAGATATAGTATAGCTAAGGTGATGAACTGTCATCATCTGAAGAGTTGTTATGCTGTTGCCCTCCATGTAATCCAGGAAGGGGTTGTGGAAGCATTGGGTTAACTGGCACAGGGAATTTATGGGCCGAACTAACCATGGTTCTCTCATTTATCATTCCAACTTCTTTGCAGACCCGGTCAAGAACTGCTAGAAAGTCTCTTACAACCATGAAGATTCTAAATGGATGAGCTTCTTCCTTTGCCAAGTTCCCATGAAAATACTCAGTGATTTCCTTCACAAGAGAGGAAGCAACACTTTCTTGGGCTTGGATTTTTGGAATTTCCTCCTCAGCCATTCTGATGAATTTGTTCATTGATTCTGTGAACTTCTGGCTGCTGTCATCTGATCCTGTGGTTTGATTTAATTGCACAACCTCTGCTATGTTTGCAATTCCTTTGGAAAGTTTTAAGACATCACTGCTGAGAACTTCAGAATCCATAGCAGCAGCCTTCTTCACATTTGCTAGCTCGGAACTCAGGCTTGATACAACTTGTAGGCCAAGCCTCCTGCACTTGGCATCTTCACTCAAAGTAGAGCTTGAAGTTTGATTCGTGTTGGAGAGCCGAGCTCCTTCGGTTCGAATAATTTCCTGCACAACAAAATGCAGTAGAGTGGTTTTCCCATCTGCGCCTTTAACATCGGCCAGTTTGAGAAGAGTATCAAGTTTGAATGCTTCTGCATCCCCACGGTTGGTTCCCACATTCATACGGTTCCCAGTTTTTAGTACAGCCTCCAGAAGCTTCAAGAACAATCTACAATGTCGCAGCTCTTCACAGGCAGCCTGCAAAAGTGCCAACCAAAAGACGAAGAAACTTAAAGTAATGACATACAAGGTAAACTTGCATGAGAAGTACATAATAAGGGGAAGAGACAAGACTATTGTTAACATATTCTTCTGGTATTGACATTAAAATGGGAGTGAATTGTTAGAATTAGATGACTTAGATTACCTCTAGAGTTTGAAAGGATGTCCTAAGATACTCCACTTCCGACTCAAAATTGGCTATGTAAAGCATTGTTTCAATCCTTTTAAATGCAAAAGGCACATCAAGCACTGCCTTCAAAAATTTCTCAGCCAGACCGAGCTTGGTTGGTGAGTCATCTTCATGTTCCTTCAACTTACGTTCTTCTTCCTTGCTTGGTGCCATTCTTAATAAGCTTTCAAGTAATTCTATTCCAAGTGTATCAGTACTACCTGTAGAGAGGTAAATTGAATATGGTCCCTCATCACTACTACTCTGAAATAAACTAGCAAGTTACGCAAACAAAATTTTCCACTAGCTTTAAGTGGTATTTTATGGACACATATAATTATCAATATACAGTTTAATGTATATACAAGTTCAATCCACTATAAAGAAAAAGAGACTGTCAAAAGTTCTTAATAAAGAATTGACTACCGAAATACTTCTCTTCTTCCTTAAATAATCCCCCAATGTGTATGAGGGGTAGTTTTATTACGGGTCCAATAAGCCATTCAATATCTATCGGTCTACCAAAAACTACTACAGAAAATTATGTCACAACTTCATGCGGGAACGAGAAAATGTACCTTCTAAAAGTGCTTCACACACTTCTTCTATAGTGACATTAAGCGCTTTCAGCAAGATTGAAATATTTTGAGACTTTTTAGGATCAAGCACTCTTTCCTCCTGATTTGGCAGGTGAAAAACTGAGTTTGCAGTTGCATCCTTAGGTTTTTGGTTTGGTGTGTTCACTACAAACAATGTTTCAATCATTTTCTCATTCAATCTGCAGCCAACCCAATTCAATATACTCAATTCAACAACACCGATTGCAGCACATACACAAGAATTGTCAACCATAAAGTGGCATTCATAAAATAAGGTAAAGAAATCAAGACGAAGATTTATAGAAAAGACCATCAAGAATGAAATCGTAACATCCAATTTCAGGGGAATACCAAGCTATTTACAAACATAAGAGTTAGAAGATCATAATGATAACTAAGAAATGAGAATCTTACTTAAACGAACTCGACTTCATCTGATCCCACACCATTTCACGATCAGATGTTGTTCTCACTTTGTCCCAATGCAGGGCCTTCAACTTGGGTTTACTAGTCTCTTCAATTTCCCCCAAAACATTGTTTGCTTGGTTTTGCAACACAAAAGGCCTAGAAGGAGGCACCAATTCCGGCGGCCTCGACGCTGGCTGTGTCGATGGCCCCGGCGGCGGCACTCCCCACTGCTTCCTCTGCCGTGGCAGAGGCGGAGGCGGCGGTGGAGCAGGGCCGGGAATCTCCCAGTGCCTCCTTTGTGGCACAGGTGGAGGAGCTGGAACAGTTCCAATTTCATCAAAGGGTGTTGCTATTGAGAGTAGTGGAATGTTCCAGTGTTTCCTCTGCGGCGCAGGCACACCGTAGGAGCCTGTTCCCAATTGACTCGACATTCCTCTGTCGGTTTCCGGTGACGAAAGTAGGGCGGGTGACACAGGCAATGATGACAGACTCGGTAACATTAGTCCGTCGGAGAAACTCGAAATTCTCGGAGACTGATCGAACGTGTGATGACGTGTCAACTTCTCCGGCGAAGAGGGAAGAGAAAACGCCGAAGACGAAGAAGCATTAGATAGTCTCGGTGGTGGTGGTGACGCATTTTCGTTTTTCTCCAATGTTCCTTCGTGTGATGATGCATGTGAATGTGCACGTGCACGTGCATTCAATGCATCGTTATCATGTTCACTGAAAACCCTATCTGGAGTTGAGCATAACGAAGGAGAGGAAGGAGAAGATTGCACGTGCTGATGGTTGTAGTTTTCCGGCGATTTTGGTTGTGTTCTCCGGGGGCTCGAACTCGCCGGCGGCGAGAGGCTGATGGAATGAGACCTCTCCGGCGAGGCAGAGGAAGAGGAAGAGCACAAGCTAGAGGTGACGGTGGCGATTCCCCCGGCGGCGAAAACTCGCCGGGAATCCGATCCATTTTCGCCGGAGCCTCCCAACGACGAGCCTCTCGGCGAGTAAAACTCCTCGTCGCCGTCGTCTTCCTCCTCCTCCGCGGTGGTGAAACCCGGGTCATCGCGCGGCGGAGGATGCGGCGGCGGAGGCAATGAAGCCTGCCGAGCGAGCGGCGGAAGCGGCCGGAGCTCCGGCGACTCCATTTTCCGGTCGTCGGAGACATCGCCGGCGGCGTCTTCAATTAAGTGAGTGTTGGCGACGGTGCCGAGATAGAGAAACTCAGAGCTGGCGGAGGAGGTGTGGCGGAGCTTGCGGGTTTCGACGGCGGCGGTGTCGGCATTGCGGCGGAGAGGGGCGAGGTCGGTGTCGGAGCGGAGAATTTTGCGGTGGATGGCGGGGGGAGGGTTCCGGCGGCGGTAGCAGACGAAGGCGGAGAGGGCGACGGCGAGTACGGCGGCTGCGGCGGCGGAGAGGGCGAGGGGGAGGAGTTTGTTGGAGGAGGAGTTGGGTTTGGGGGAGTGAGGGATAACAAGGGAGGAGATGTTGGCAGGGAAGGAAGCAAAGGTGGTTGGGGAAAATGGGGGAGGTGGAGGGGAAGAAGGGTATAATGGGAAAAATGGTGAATTTGGATTTGTTGTTGCTGGTGTTGTGGTTGTTGTTGTTGTTGTGGTGGTGGAAGTAGTTGGAATGGTGGATGATGGGTATTTGGGTTTTTGTTTTTGGGTTGAAGGGTGAAGAGGTGATGGTTGTGGTGGTTGTGAAGGAGGGAGAGAGGTTGATGGTATAAAGGGTTCATGGAGGGTTCTTCTGTTGAGGAAGAAGAAGGGTTGCGATGAGAATGCACATGAGAAGAAGGAAAGGAAAAGGGACAATAATAAGAACAAGAACAAGGTTTGCATTGTGTGGTGTTGTGTGAAGTGAGTGAGTGAGTGAGTGAGTGAGTGAGATAAGTAGTAATGAGAGTGGGGGCTTATGTTACAGAAAATGGGGTGAGAGGTTTGAAAAGGAGAGTGTGAAAAGGTTGAATTTATGATGAGATGAAAAGGGTGTGTTGCATACAGCTAAGATTCTATTTGAAGGCTATGAAACTTGGAACTGTTGAGGGTGTTTCAGTGCATGCCACTCACTACAACTCAATCATTCTTTCTCCTTTCTCTTCTCTTTTTTAACAATTCTTTTTACTTTTGACATTCTTGGTTAACTGGTTCCCGGCAAAGTTACACATGGAAACAGTGAAAGGGGACATTGGTGAGGATTTTTGTAGGTGTATTTGGTAATGGTATGGAACGTCCAACATTATTATCCTCACAATCTGCTACTGCTACTTTAGTATCTGTTGCTTTGAAAATGTGGACAAAGAAAACATTGGGTTGGTTTTGAAATGAATGTAGTAGTGGGTCATACAAACAATAACAAATGTACTTAGTGGTACAGTGTAGGTGGCATGTCTTAATCTACAATTCTATCTGATTAACTACTTACATTTTGTTTGAAGAGAAATAAGTTAACTACTTTCTTAAGTAATAATAACATTTTTTGAGGAATTAGTTAAGCATTAACATTGGGTATTCAAGATTTGGTCTTTTAATATGTAAATATGTTAAAATCATCTCTCTCTTTTTATATACCATCAAACTTGTCCATAATATTGTAACTATTGGTCATTAACCATTTTAATATATTCATAAAGTAATGGTTCTTGTTTTGTCTTACATGTGTTTTTAATGATGTAGCATAATAATATTCTTTATTAATAAAATTGGCAATATTTGCAAAAACTATAAGCAATGGTTTGAAAAACCAACAATATTCATTTGTGTTGGGCTTAGACATAAAAAATGAATCGTGTTGAAAATATGAATCTCATGGTTGAAGTAAAAACACTAATAAGCCCAGGGACGGATTAGAATACTATTAAAGTGGCACAAAAGAATTTAAAATAAATATAAAATCATAATTATTAAATACATCAGCTCATTTATCTAACTTATGAATATCAGTCATTAAAATCATAAAATTCATCGATCAATAATATAAAAACATGTATCAATCGTTAACTAATATCTTAATATATTTATATTTATTGTGGCAAATTTATTTCATCATAAATATTTTTTCAAAGAGTTAAAAAAAAAAAAGGGGGCCCAAACCCCAACCGCCGCGAATTCATTCCTGAATAAGCCCTAAGAAAAATTGCTATAACAAAGAAAATGAATGTAAATAAATATAGTATCTAATGTTAATGTTGCAGTTACTTAATTTTATTGCGAAGTAATTTTCACAAAAAAAATTAAAATTAATTTGACTAAAATAAATTTATTTAATATGCAAATTATTAAGTTTACTGTTTTTGTTTTATTCAAATTAAATTATTTAAAATTATTTTTACCTTTTATGATCCAATTATTATTTTTGTTTTAAATAATTAAATATATTCTTTTATGTCATTTTAAATTTATATCAACCAATCTTAAAAAAAACACTTTTAACTCAATCAATTAATTTACAAATTTTTATATTTTCAGTTCTTAACTTTAATTAGTTTATATATCAGTTTCACTAGACACATCTTATATACGCACAAATCTGTGCTTCTTTTACCGAAAGTTGATTTCTACAGTACTAAATATCTTAATTATATGAGTAACACTAATCATTCTTAAACTTAATTTAACTATAAAAAAAATCCATGCATTATATAAGTATTTTAAAGTTGAATAATGTTTATATATTTAAATAAATTAAAGATACTAGAAAATATTCTTTTATTAAATAAAAATAATTAAGAAAATTATTTCATTTAAAAAATATGATATATTTTGTCAAAATTAAAAATTAAAGTTAAGATTGATTAAGATTATAATAAATTAAAAAAATCAATTTAGTTATAATCTATACTATATATAATTAGATATCTCCTTTTTGTATACTAAATTTTTGGACAATTTTGTCCCAACAATTACAATTAAATTATTTTTTAACTTTTCAACATTTTGGTGTAAAAAGAAAAAACTTTTCAACATTTTCAAAATTATCCTTACAACTATAACAATTAAAAAATTGCTTATGCTCTTTTTTTATTAATTGCTCAGTTTTATTTTATTTTCATATTTTAAAAAATATACGGAAGTACGAAATATCTTTCTTATGTTATTTTATTATAATAGGAATATCTCATTTTAGTATGCTTTTTTAATGAGATATTTGTCTTTGATTTTTATTAAATAATCACCTCATAGTTAATTGTTTACTTCCACTTTGATTTAATTATTTTTATTTCTCTAGTATATGTGATAACTACTTTTTGTCGTTAACAATTTTTTATAATAGATAAATAACTTTGTTTAAGAAATTTAGAAGAAAAAAAATTATATCACGTGGATGTCACTTGAAATGGTTATATAATTTTTAGTTAAATGCATAAGTAATTAATAAATATTATATAATAATAGATTTGAAAACGATAATTTTATATTTAAAAAATGAAAATAAAAATATAAGAAAAAAATAAATTAAATTCGCTCATTTTGTAGGATTAGAAATATATTTAAATTTTAAAACTATTTAATAAACTAGTTGTTATCCTAATTACATACTACCCGACCATGTAGGGCCCCATTATCAGAAAAGGCACTAAAAAAATCATTTAGTATATATTGTAACACTATAAGTTTTTGTTTAATTATTATCTTTTAACAATAATTACGTGTTGAATTGTTTTGAAGTAAGATGTTGAGAGACTCTAGAAGTTAAGGAACTCTAGAAGTTAAGGAACTCTTGTGAAATCCTTTGGAATTTTAAAGGATTTTTATCGACAAAGGTTCAATTTGATCTTGAGAATAAGAGTATATATATAAGATTTCTTTTAAGAATTGGGTTTCATAAACTCTTTCTCAAAAAACTTAGAGAGATGAGCTTAGAAAGGAGAACTCTAATTTCTAAAGTTTCATTTTCTTTTAGCTTCTTGGAAGTTTTAGAGTTGTTATCCTAGTAGTTAGTTGTTGACTCAAGGTGTTTGGGTTGAGAATTGAGAGGTAATAGTAGTTGGTAAGAGCTTTTGTGTTACCTTGAAATCATCTTACTTTCTTCTAGCTTGGAGTTGAGGTTAAGGAAGTTATAACTCAAATCTTTGATAGATTGATGAATTATATGTACCTTGAATTCAATGAATCTTTGGTAAGAGCTTTTGTATGGACGACTCTTGGGTGGAGATTGTTGTTTGTTGGACTTTGGTGTTTTGAGTTCATGAGGGTAAATTTTGGTGATTGATCCTAGTTGTTGTTGCATATTGCTATGTTGGTGTATAGTAAGTTGTGGATGATGCATATGTATGATATATTGCATTGCATGCTTGGGATTTCTTAGTTTTCAGGTGGATTAAGCCAAATTTGTGGTTTGTTAAGTGTAGAACTCATCATCGTGCTAGGGTGTGACTTAAATCAAGGAGTTTATGTATTGCTCGCACTAGGTGTAAGGAGAGAGAAAATTCTCTGACTTTGTCATGCTAGACGTGATTTGAATGGCGTCGGATGTGAGGTGAGAGAATTAACTCTACCTAAATTGGTATTGGACATTAAAGGAGTGATAATGAGGGTGAGGAGAGAGACTTGTTTCTGCTCGGAATGAGATTAAGCATAGGTTTTTGCCATGTCAAGTATGAGGACCCAAAGGTTTCCTACCCCTTCCACGTCGGACACAAGTTTGTGATGTCGGAGGTGGGAAAAATAGAGAGTTTCCTACCTCAATGACGTTAAGCGTAAGGTGTGTGGCTTTGACCGCAATTTACTTTGAAAATTCTTGTTGTTGATCGGGTAGCTTATTGCTACTTTTGTATAAATGTTATGGAGTTGCTTGACCAATAACCTAAGATTACATATTACAGTTTCTTTTAGATTACTGTATATACATATATACTTGTATAGTTTTTTTTAGTTGATGATGCAAACCCTTGTGCATGTATGTATATGTATATTATTATTATTATTATTATTATTATTATTATTATTATTATTATTATTATGTCTTTCAATAACTGTTTATATATTAATCATAGGTAGTTGTAGTTATTTTTCAATATTAATAGTTGATTTTGTTAAGTATAGTAGTCATGATAGGTCGTTACATAATCCATCCTTATTATAGTTTATGTTGACTTTTGTTCGTTATATATATGGGTGCATGAGTGCATATTGAACAACAAAACACAACACACTACACTATGAAGACTACAACAGTACAACTTATAATACTCTTAAATTATATTTCTCTTATTATTAAAAATTATTTTTGGAGTGATGTTTTTTAGTTCGAAAATCCTTCACTACACACAATTGATTTGACAAGTAGTTATATATATGTTGAGAGAGGAACATATTATAAATTAACCTACCAAAGTATTTTCTCTTTAAAGATACTACTTAACATGCTTCAACTCTAACTTCTCTAAACTTTTATTCTTGCTTATTTTGATCTTTGTTAATTCAATTTATCGTTTGCTTATATTTATCTTGATGTAATTCTTTGATAAATAATATATCTTGTATTTTCTATTTCAATAACTTCAACACATTTTAGATCAATTAATAAAGAAGTAATCTAAAAAATATTATCTACGTTGATTATGAAAGTAACTAATCTAGAAAGTACAAATCCCTTAGTAATTGATATAGTATGTGAACATTTGTTTTTCAATTTTTTAAAATTCTAGTTTTCTACTATGGTTCTCATCTAAATTAATCTAGAATGTTGTTACCTTTTTAGTTTTTCAAAATTTTATAACTAAACTTAAAAGTTTAGATAACACTTAAAAACAATAATAAAAACGATATACCAACCATTTTGACGATAAAAAAATGGTGTATTTCTAAATTGAATGATCAAAATAGAACAAACCTTTTTTAGAAATTAAAACTAAACTTGAAAAATTTTAGGTAAACCTAAAACATATTTTACTCTTAATTAAAATTAGCTAATATAACTATTTTATTAGCTTTTATAGATTATTTATTTATTTCTTACAAAATCCCTAAAGATAAAGATAGTAATGATTTTCTTAAAATATTTGTATTATCTTAAGTGATATTTCTTTCATCTCATTTTATTTGACATTTAAGTTTTACACGATAATTAAAAAAAATAAATATTTTAAACTTTATGAAAGCCATTGAGAAAATTTTTTAATATACTCCTCGTCTTAGAATGTTAAACAAAATGAAACACAAGTAGTAAATAATTTAAAATGAAACAACGTCTATAATTGTTTATAGTTCTCCACTCGTAATTTGTGTTTGAAATGAATCCTTTTGTCAACTATGATTTCCATTATTGAAAATTTGAAAATTTGTGTTTAGATATATGCATGCTTCACCGTGGCTAGGATGTGTATGGTACCCAAGGCACCTAAAATTCTTGGTTCTTTTAACGTGTTCTTCATTTTAAAAAACAAAGATGATTAACATAAATGAAATGTTATGTTTTGTGAGTAAGAACACCTTTCTAGGCTACTCAGTCTACGCCCTAGAGATTCAATGTTAGGAAATTCAATGTTTGATTGTGTCTGAAATTGTAATTTGAGAATCCCATTTATCGAAAAATAGACTTTGGGTTTTACTTTGAGCCACGCATTAATTAAAAAAGTATTAAGTCCTTGAAAAGAATAAATGGGAGTGCTTTTTAGTTTGACAAAAGACAAAGAAAGAAACCCAAACGATACAAAACTCCTTAAAGTCCGGGGAAAGGGAAACTGTTCAACCAAAATTAACCCCACGGTCAAACACTTTTATTTATGTTACGGAAAAAAAGGTACTTAATCAAAATAATAAATTAATAAATTTATTCTAATAATTTATACAATCATTACAAGTTATTTACAATTATTAAAAATAAAATGTAAAAGATAAAAATAGGCATCAAATGAATTTTTTTTATTATTAGTATAAATATAAAAAAAAAGTTACATGTATCATGCATGAGAAACAATCATTTTCTAGTCGATAAAATTACAAAATAAAAAGTTGATAAGTAAAGTTTTTTTATTCAAATATTTAATATCAATACATATATTTATTTAAATTCAAAATTATTGACTAAGTTAAAACAAATTTCTACTAATGACTCGGTGTATATTTAGATTGAGATTATATACTTTCTAAATCTACGCTCATTTAGAAGTTACAAATTCTTGCTTCTTGATTTTGTGTTTTGGAAATTGAGATTTCATGGTGATTCAAAAGTTTTCCCAAATATGCTCTCATTTACCCCTAGTTAGAAGAGTTTTCTGTTTTTTTATTTTATTTTAATAATAGTGTTTCTTATTTATCCCTTTTCCTTAAAATAAGGACTTTTATATTCTTAAGTAAATCATATTTCCTCCTTTTTCTTAGGAAAGTAAAAATTTGGTAATGAACTTGAATTTACGGGTCACTTGAGTTTATAATAATGTAACCTTCAAGATAAATAAATTATGGATTTGGCTAGTCTTGTGTGAAGCAGGGTGGAGTTAACCATTTTTTCTTTTTTGAGGAAGTGCACTAGCGCTATATATAAATTAATATATTAAATTTAACTAATAATTAAAAAATTATAATGATTAGTAATATTTATTAAAAAAAAAAAGTAAAAGTAGGAGAGTATTTTATTTGGAGTGGAATGTAAAAGAAGTCATAAAAACGTTATCTACAAACATCTTTTGGCAAAGGACTATTCTCTTAATTATTTTTTGAGACTCATGTACAGTGTATTTTTAAAATAATGATAAGGCCATTAAATAAATAAAAAAATATGATGATTATAGTTTATTTCGTTTTGGGGTAGCCGTAACCCTACCTCAATCTTGTTTTACCACCCTCCACCGGTAATGTAAAACCCAATAAAAATCATTCTTTTATAGAAGCCTTAATACAACTACCAAGGATAGAAAGAAAGAAAAAATGACAATTCATAGATCGTTTCGTGCTCCCACTATTGAAAAGTGCCTCGTCCTATAAAGACAAGGACATGGAGGAATAATAATTGTATAAAAAGACAACTCACATACTCAAAGTACACACTTCTCCAATTCAAACTCTCTTACATGAGAACTTATTACATTGAGCGTTGCAATGCTTTTTATACAATCAATATTATGTATGAGAACATATTAGTCATAGAGTAACATCTCTGCTCACATTATGGATTAGAACCCTTCAAGCTAACATTCTAAATCATAGTCCTCTGAAGCTGACATTCCAGATCAACCAACTCATATTACTGCTCATTTGGGCTAACTGCTTTTTCGTCCTTCACCACCCTAGTAGAAATGCATCGTTTCTAAATTCTTAATTATTTTAAAAAGTTATAAACTAGATTAAATTTGATTTAATATTTTATTGTTCATGATTATAATTAATATAAACACATTAAAAATAGAGATGCAAATTTGCAATTGAGAAAGAAAAAAATACTAAAGTTATATCAATTGAGGGGGGAGGGGGGCAATGTAACTAACTAATTAACCCCATAAATTGTTTTATATATCTATTCTATACTAATAATAAAAGGGATTATCTTATCCCCCATTTTTACACCTATTTTGTCCCTAATAATTATTAAAAAGAACTGTCATTAATATTAAAACAATAAAAATTGTCATAAAAAATTATCATTTTTTCTATTTTTCAGGAAAGTAAGGTGTTCGTTTTTTCCTACCGGTATATTAGGATATACTTATTTTGAATGCCCCCACCATCTTCTATTATGTCGCGAGGAAGTTGCAACATTTAATGGCTTTAATAATTACCTTCATTTTTTTTTTACATTCTTTTTGCCGAACTCCTTAAGTCCTTAGACATATCAGGTACTAGTGCTCTACTAATTCACTTCTCATTGTTGCTAAAAAATTTAGGGTGCAAATACTAAACATCTGGATTGATTCTGTTTGTACAGTGTACAAGGATTACGTGCTTTACACTCAAATTTCAACATAAAGTAGAAAAAGAATAATGGTAAAATTAGAAATAAACTATTTGACAGCCACCAAATTGTATTTCTGCCAAACAAATGTCAGTTGGGTACGGTCTAACCAACATCACTATTGTGGTTTTGATGGAGTTGGAGATGATGGTGGCTTCAAATCCGGGTACTGCAAAGAAGAAAGACAAAAAAACAAACGAGAATTCTCATTTTATCAGACAACGGGATTCTAAAATACAAAATGTAAGAAAGCAGTAGTATGCACACTTCACAAATAGATGTTCACTATGGCTGTTTCATGTTTTAAAATCATGCAAGTAAATATCTTAAATCTTAAAAATATAATTAATCAAATTTATAAGGATGTTTATAATCATCTTCCATTTTAATATATAGGGCATATATAAGAGAGAACACAAATGTACTGACAAAGTTGGAATCTCTATTATCGGAACCAATCTATATTTCAGTGGACACCTCCATCCGAAGTCAACTACATCCAGTTCATTCTTAAATTTACATAAAGACGCCAATTGAGATACAAAAAGTTTGATGCATATGATTGCTTGAGATACAATAGCTATCAAGATTGACTTTAATCCAAACGTATGCTTTTGCATTATTTAATAATACTGCAAAACTGTTAACTACAAATCTAGCAAGTCCTAAACTTCTGATGCTTTCAGGTTGTCGTGAATTTGCATCAGAATAGAAAGAAAACTAAAGAAACAAATCAATAGCACGTATATGATTCCTTCCTTTTTCTTTTTATATCCAACCAAGTTTGCTATTTGATATCAAACCATCAGGAGTACAATGTCCTTTTTCAAACTATCATATCGCACTCATGAGGATCCATGGGTGCAGCTATTTTATGCACAAATCTAGCTTTGAACTCTTCTATTCCTGTGGTTAAACTACACAGAATTTAGACGGTTGGGTAGGGTACTCCGAAATTGAATTATGACCTCAAATAATAAGTAAAGGTTGCAGTCAGTGCCAATGAGTAATAGCATAAATGGTGCAGGATCAACTTTATCTTTTTTTGGATACATTTAAATGGTAATAAGAAAAGGTTAATAAGAGGCCTGTTTGGGTAAAATTCTCTAAAAATAAATTTTTCTATAAGTTAAAAGTAGCTTCTCCATAAGTTAAAAATTAACATTTAGCAAACACTAGTATGAGAGAATGTCTATAAATTAATTTATAGATGAGCTAATTTTAGCTTTTGAAGAAACTTATTTCATACTGATAAAAAAATAAGAACTTATTTCATTTTTTTTATTTTCTTCTCTTTGAAGTGATTATAAAAAAGTTTATCTAAATAGGCCCTTACTCTATTCCTATCAATCAGGTGCTAAAATCATGCTTGAAATCCACTGGAGCAAGAAAAGGCCCACCCAGAGAATTATCTCCTGGAATATTTTTTTGATCCCTGAAAGGAGGGAATTCACTATTCAATTAGCCTCTAGGCCCCTGGAGCAACTCCAATTCTGTGGTTTTTAGGTTATTCATTTCAGTCTGTTTTGTTTTTATTTTTTATATTCCCAAAATCTTTAAGAGTTCTCGATCACATAACCAACCACAGAATGGAAACTTTACTAGTTTGATATATTTGCCCCCCTTAGGCATGCATGTTGTTCTTCCCATGGGTCATAAAAGATTAGTGTGGATTTAGTATAAAGGTCACTCTCTCTCTTCTCACAAGACTAAAATCCATGCAATCTACACTCCTCACTGGTGCTTTCAATGAGCTTTTTACGTGCTGCATGCAACTCAAGACATATCCACTCCACACAAAACGCAGTAAAGAAAACATGAGAGGCCTTCAAAAAACTTTAGTACTCAAGAGTAAAAGTTTTGGGATTGCATCGCTTTCCTACATGATTGATATTTCGATAGTCAAACTATTTCTTGAGAGTATAACAAATGTTATCATACCTCAACTGTGTTTTCCAATGATCGGTTATCATGTTAAACAGTATAACTAAAGTTACAAAACCATGGACATAAAACACCAGTTGCAAGATTCATACAGTAGAAGATAAACGACAGCACCGTAAACGATAGAATTTGGGAATAGAATACTAGCTAAGAGATGCTGAATACAAATCCTATTTAACTAACTAATAGTTCCTATTTTAACTGTTAGAACTTAGAACATGAAGACACACAATCTGAGAGAGTTGAGGATAACATACATTGGGATAAGGAGACAAGGATGCTACAGAACCAGTTTTCACTTCTGGAATGGACTCTGCAGAGCTTTTCACTTGACCATTGTCTGTTGTTTGGTTTCCAACAGGAGAGATATCTCGGGATAAGGAACTCTTATTATTACTATCATTTTGCTGGATGGCTCCATTTTCATTTGTATTGAGTTGTTTTGAAGCTTTTATCCTTTTCTTCATATGCACAGAAGGGGGCAAAAAGGAGTCTTGTATAGCCTGCAATCATGAAGAATCTATTACCTTACTTTGAAATGATATCCTGAAACCAGATACATACATTCCTTTGTTGGCATCAAGTTGAAGTGCAAAACTGAATTACCAAAATTTGATTTTTGAATCCCTTGCTTAAATATATATATACTCTAAAAAGTAAGAACCTTTTATAGCTTCATAGGAGTTTTGATAGAGAGAACAAAGAATGCTAACTTACATCCAATTTACATGGTTTTTCTAAGGTGAAAAAAAAAAAAAAAAGAGTGTAGAATGTTAAGAGATGTTCGCTATGCATTCTATGCTAAACAAACAACAAGTAAAAGAGAAGAGAATGGTCATACCATCCAACCTTGCTGGCCTCTAACCCCACCTTTGATTGCATAGGCCTCTTTGAAACCATTTTTGAATAGTAACTCAGCAACTTTCATGGAATTACCGTCAAAACTACCTTACACTCAAAAGAGAAACAAGTGAGGCTTTTTGCTGACAAGTATAGTATATATATGGTTAAAGAAATGATATTAGTCTCATTAACAATGTGACTCCTTTGATCTTAGTCAGAGTCATACTATAAACCATCCAGAATATAATATAAATGATCAGACACCTTTTCCACTTTTGTTCTAAACTTAAAAACACAAATACTTGGCCTCTTTTTTTCTTTTTACTTTTACTTTTCCATGAATCAGAATTTTCATCTCAATAATGATACATGGACACGTGCTACAGTGCAAACACATCATTAACACTCTAAATTTATCTTTATCTCTTTTTTTGTCACATAATATTACCTTATCACATCCACATTTCCCACTCTTTTCCCGGCTTAAGATCCTCTCCAGTAACATATTCACTAGACAAGATCTTAACCATTGAAATTATTTGATTTCTTTTATAAAAATACTATAAAATCATCTCTAAAAATCAAGAAGGACAAGATGAATTCAATTTACACTCTCATGCTAAATTTCAATTGAGATAATCCGGACCTCTTTCCTCTCTTTTTCTAGGTGTATGACTTACGAGCACTAGTTGTCCATAAATCATTCTTGTTTTCATCTAGTTTCCTTTTTCCACTTCAATCACACACCATTCAGAATCCAATTTCATAGATACTACATTGCTTTAACTTGGGCCTTTTGGTAATGAGGAATGCTATTATGCTAGCAACGATCCTCCTAACACTCTCTAACCTTCTCTCTAGTATTGACTATAAATTATTAGAAATAACAAATTTTGTTGGGGTCTCAATTCTCATTAAATAAGTTTCTCATGTCCACTAAATTTGTGATTTTCAATAAATTTCAACTTTACCGAATTTGCAATGTTTAATATATTTCAGATAATAGGAAGTGCTAGAAATAGAAAGTGTTGGAAAGAAAGAGCTCATCTTAACACAATTCAATTCTCTCTCACTACTTTATTTACCTGTCCAAAACACAGACAGCAGTGTTCGGCGCGTCCGAGAATCTCCCCAAAACCTTCTTCACAAACTCATCTTCATTCCCTTCAGTGAACTCAACCTGCGCCACTTCCTTCTCAAACAATTTCAAATTCGGCGACCTCAGAAACCTCACGTTCTTCCCGTCCCTTATGTCCAACAGCTGCGAGCTGGGGTCATCGCGGAGCCTCCGGAACGCGTCGATCGCCGATACGAACTTGCATTTTTTGAAATACTGCTCCGTCAGAGGGATAACCACCAGCCAAATAAAGGTGCAGCCGGCAACGAAAAACGGGTAGCGGTTGAAGAAGTTGTCGATGGAAACCAGAACCGACTCCAAGCTGATTTTTCCGGCGTCGGAGGCCACGTCAGCGAGGCACGGAAGTGGAGTGAGGAGGTGGAGCGTGGCGAATGAGAAGAGAGATTTTGATAAGGGGTTGAGAGAACGTGTTTGGAAGGAGGAAAGAGAGGGTTGAGGAGAAGGTGGAATTGCAGAGTTTGTGAAATGGGAGAAGGGTTTGAAGGTGGGGGGTTTGGGGGTTTTGGTGGAGAGTGGATAAGGAGAGAGGAGAAGAGACAGGGAATTCATGTTGCACACACCTGAAAAATGATAGAGGAAGGGGTTAGCAACATTGATATATGCTCCTTATCTTATATAAATTAATTTATATATGTAGTACAATTTTAAATAACAAATATATAAAATAAATATTATGCGAATGTTCAACATGGATACTAATATAACTAATTTGGATACTGGGTAACGTGTACATATTTCTTTGTTAATTATTAATACAATAAAGGTATATAAAAATATTAGTTTATATTATTATTATCACATAAAAACAAAAACAAAAACAAAACCAACAACTTTGTAAAAAGCAGAGGCCATCAATTCTTATTAAGTTATTATTCAACCATCAGATCTGCTTGTCATGTGTATAAAAAAAAATGTTGGGTCATTGGGTGGTGGAGTCCGCTTATACGTATACATTTACATATACACACATCTACATTCAATACTATGGAAAACGCGAAAAAGAAAACCCCAAATACGATAGATGTGGTTAAAACCTGCTCTTATAAACCTTACAGAATCATTACCAATGCAAAATTCAACTCCAGATGTTACCTACAATCTACACTTTTCTGAACTTCTTTTCTGTACATGTATGGATTTTGAACATTTAGAAACCGGATTTGAGATTCATGCATATCAAGGTTCTTTCTTAAAATTGCCAAGGACTTCTTCCATGCAGGCTTTGTAAGCTTCCATGCCTGGAACATGTTTTGCAATGTCTAAGCCGACAGTCATCCATTTCTTCCCTGCTTCAATCTGACCCAGCCTCACTGGCACTGCTGCTCGGTTCCATGCAGTCATGGCAAGCCACTTTCCTTCTTCAATTGGATACTCTTCTTCCTTCAAACCAACCATTATCCTATAGGCTTGTTTGTACATGCTATACACAAGATCATCATCTGCATCACCCTTGTAAACGCTAGTAATGGATATGAGTTTGCGCATCACAATAGCAACATTTTGGTAATCTGGAACTGGTGATGAAAGGAAAGATGAGAGACATTCATTTAAAGCGAAGGAGGCTACTTCGTGATTCAACCGGGGACCCTGTGAGGCAGAGAGACCTATTTGAAGGAGGTGGTGGGGTTTGCAAGCCTTTGAACTGGCAAAATTTCTCACATGGAGAAGTTGCGATCCCATATCATTCAGCCTGCCTTGTATATCACAAGCACAGAAAGTGTGTATGAAAAACAGTTCTGGCTCGATGGTATTTATTTGGTCACCGTTAGCAGATTTCCTGGCCAAAATTGATTTTAGCATCTGCATCCACACAAGAAGGGAGCAAGAAAATATTCAACAGAATTCAAAATTAAAATATAACCCAAAAAGGAATTATTTTTTATAGAAAGAAACATCCTGTTTTATGCATCATGTCAATCTAAAAGAGTAAAAGACTAATGCATCAAGCAAAATGAAGTCCGTAACGTTTTCATACCTGTCCTGCTCTATCTAGCAAGTGTAGAGCTTGCTTGACTTCAGCTTCTGACATAGAAGTCTTCCTTTGAAATTCTAAAGCTATCATTGATGATACCGAAAGAACTAACGATTTACAAACCATGACATTGTTCTCATTATCAGACCCCTCAACTAGAGCATAAAAATCTGATGCCAGTCTTAAGAACTCAGCTGATAATTCATAGTTCTTATCCTGACCTGTTTTTGTACCAAAGTTCCATGAAGTCACAGCAAACCAATTCCGTTCCCGTCTTCCAACCTCCTCTTTTCCAAAGAAGCAATCAGGACCCATCTCCGATGCTCGTGTATGGGCATGTATTAAGAATTTGAGGACTGGCTTTTCATTACCCGGTTCTTGAGAGAGGACCGTCAGCAAGGTGCGCATAACTGTTACTTCTGCTGTGGGCATAGACTTTCCTGAAGTATAGAAGTTTAGCATACTTGATAGAGAAGCAACAGCAACAGGTAGAGCATGGCAAGCAACAGCTTCATGTGCTGAAAGTGAGAGAAAATCTGGTTGAAAGTCAAGGCAAGTTGTCATCGCTTCAATTTGATTAATAGCACCTTGGTGGTCATTCTTTTGGAGATAAATTTTGAACTGAGTTAAAGCAAATGAAATGTCAACGTAAATTCTCATGTCATTCCAGTTACAAACGTGATTCTAATGAGATGCACTGAGCTTAATTCTAACATCTAAGTTGTAACCAGCTTTGAGCATTACATACGAAATCAAATATATGAGTCTACATAGAATAGCATTATAAATTTGTATGTTGCTTTATTATGTATACATATGGATTTAAAAGCACCAACAAGAGTGAGAGAGAGAGAGTGAGGAGATGGTACCTTAAGAAAAGCACAGACAATGTTAGGCTCAAGCTGCAGAGAAGAAAAAACATGGTTAATATTTCATTTTTGACTGAAATTTAATGCAACGAACCAAAAAAAAAAAAAATCAACAACAAAACCTTTTCAGCCTCGTTGATGTATTCTTGAGCGCGATCCAGCTGCAGGAGACCAAGGTGGCAGAGACACAAAACTCTGTAGCCCTTGGCTCGAAGTATTCTGTTCTCTGCATCATATGAAATATATAGCATTGATTTTTCAAAGAGTTCCGCACTGGTCTCGTAATCTTTTGATTGAAAGTTATCAGCACCGCTGAAAATCACATAAAAATATTGAGACTAGTAAGTTTATTTGGAGAGGAAAATTCCTACGTGTTGCAAAATGTTATTGAATGCAAATATGAATCAGTTAAACGGAAAACCCTTCAATATTTGTAAGAAAGTCATTCGACGTTCTGACATTTGTCAAACCTTTCAGATGTTCTAAATCGAAATATCACGTAAATAAGTTCCAACTTTCAATTAAACACATGTCAACAAAACGAAATTGAATTGTCGAATAGTGTATAAAACACACTTCCTAGCGGGTGCAAGATGGTTACAGTAGCAGGCAAACCAAGCATGTATATATATTTATTATATATCAAGCCTGAATGTGTGAAGAGAGATATAAAAGGTTTCAATTTCCTTTTAATTTTGTTCCAGTGAAAACTTTTAGAAGCTCATCTCTTCTCTGTCATGTTCGGTGAGAAAATGAGTCAATCACAGGACATAACTAAGAATCAATTGTCAACTCCATCAGTGGAAAACTAGAACAGAAACCAAGAGAAACGCGCTTCAATAAATAAAATGTAACTCCTGAAATACACTAGAGATTATTCAAGGCTCTGACAACACTTATCCTGACTCCACTACAAATGCTCCCATTCTAATTCCCAAATAAAGATAGCCATAAAATGTGATTAAAGCTTCGAGAATAATGATACTGCTTCATGTTAATTTATTAACTGTCAGTGAATCTTGAAAATAACAGAGCTTAGCCTCTAAGGGAGTTGTCCATACTCATTTGACAAACAGGGCAGGTTTATTGTTGCAGTATAACGTGTAGCACATAAACATTGTGCCTACGTATAGTTGATCTCTTACCTAATTCTAGAATGTTTGGCGGTGCTGCAATTTTAAGGCTTACCTTTTGCAGTAGAGCTAGGATTCAGGGAGAAAGCGGTAAAGAATGACTTAATAGTTACCTGGTACCTACTACGAACGTTTGAATTTTATCTTTCGTGACTTGACAATAGACATTAATCAGAACAAATTTCTGAAGCTATGGGATAACTAATTGTTCAATGAAACAGAAAAGGCAACGGGGAGTCTCCCTTTCAGCAAAATATTTTTCTTGCATGGATTAAATTTCTTTTGAATCATAAGGAAGCTGGTTCACGATCTTGCATGCAAAATCAATAATAATCTAGGCATGTATCATCACGTCTAAGAATTAAAGTAATGAATACCAAGCTGCTTGTGCTCTTTTTGGCTTAGCAAGCCAGTCATGCGAGTTATCAAGTACTAAATGTGAACATCTTCCAACAAAAAGTCAAATCCTAATTCACCACTTCACAAAGGACTAGTCCTTTCATTAGGCCTAATCTTTTCTTCAACCACGAAAGCTATCTCTCATCCAAGGTTTTAAAAAATGGCTCAGCACTATAATTTTAGCCGTAGCATCAAAGTTCTTGAAGTCCCAATTGCTGCCACATCAACAGATTTATCCACAATCTCTCACAACATAAAAAATTAAAAAAAAAAAATCACAATCACGATCACGATCACAATTTAAAATCTTGATATCACCTGGTTGGGAATTAGACAACCAAGTGACCAACAATAACTTTAAGCCATTCAATCACATTTATTATATATTTTCTTGTGAAAACGTTTTAGATAGCAGAACAGAAAGATACCAAATCTAAGACACAAACCCAAAATGTCATTCTGCATAGTTCACAAACCATAGTATGCAAATGTATTAGCTATATACCAGTACCAGCTAAGCTAGCATAACAAACATCGAAATGGTTGAAGAAATCTTACCAATTCCACAGAATAGCATGCATTGCCACCCTATCCTTAGCAGCTTCCTGTCCTGCAAAGAGGGCCACCACCCTCTCATCAGATACCAGCTCAGCAACCACCTTAGCCCTCACTCTCCCTCCTTCCCCGACACCCCCAACCACCCGGTGCGCCACCCTCACCGCCGCGCCAGCACTAACATGGCACCTTCCCAACAGCCCCAAGAACACTCCCTTGGCCGTCTCCGCCCCTGCCGTCCCTGCCGCCGCAAAATACGCCTCCACCGCGGACACCCAAACCCCCTCCGGAATCCCTCTATCAATCACCATCCCCCTGAGCTCCCTCTCCGCCTCCCCGTGCCTCCCCAACCCTAACCAAGCCTTCATCGCCAACACCGAAAGACTCGGATGCTCGTCACCGCCCTCAGCGCAATCCCTCAGAACCTTCACACACTTAATCACACTCTCGAACTCCTCCTTCTGCAAATGAATTGCCGCGATGAACCTCAGCGACTTCCACCTCAACGCGCGGATCTCCACCTTCTCTTCCCGTGTCCGCGCCACACCGAATCCTTTCTCGCAGCTCTCTAGCGCCTCGTTCATCAGCTTAAGCGCTTCGTTCGAATCGCGATGGGCGTCCTCGCTGATCTTCGACAACGCGCGTTTGCCGAACGCCATGAACTGCTTCGCGAGCTCCGCGTGATGCTCGCACGAGCCGAAGAGGAAGCTCTTGCTTCGGTTCAGAAGCGCCACCGCCAGGTTCGGGTCCCGAACCTCCCACGCGGTTCGGGACCGAGCGAGGTTCAGATCCAGCAACAGTTTTCTCTCTCCGGCGTCGGTGATTGAATTGATTTCGAGCTTCGAGACCAGATCTGTGGCGCGCTCGAAGCATTTCGCGGCGAGATCGAATTTTCCGAGGTTGTGCCATATCAGGCCGGTCTTGTGGTAGAACGACGCCGATTTAATTGCCGGAGAGGGGACGCCGGCGACGTCGCCGGCGATTGATAGGAGGTCGGCGGCGATGTGCCGGAGTTCCGCGTGGTTTCTATCGGCGGCGGTGACGGCGGCGGAGGAGGAGGAGGAGCGGATGGCGGTGGTGTTTGAGATGTCGACGCAGGCGTTCCAGAGGCGGTAGCTGAGCTTCCAGATGTGGAGTTTCGATGAGTTCGGAAACGGAGCGAGTTGACTCAGCTGAGTGAGGCATTGCCGGAGATCGGAGGCGGCAGACTCCGGCGGGGGTATGTTGGCGGTGCGGGTTTCGAGTTGCTTGACAATTGCTTCGAGTTGGGAAAGGCTATGGTTGTTAGTCTCTGTGTCACGGTGGAGTTGCCGGAGCTCCGGCGAGGAAATCTCTGCAATTCTCATTTTTTTGGCGGGAAATTTTGAAAGGCTGGTTGTTAGTTTTCTCCTTTGGGTGTTTTCTTTCTTTTTTCCAGCGTGTACAATTTACCTTTCATTTTGAAATTTCGCTTGAGAGGAAAACTTTTATTTTCATACTTTTAAATTGTGTTTTTCATTATTCTATTTGTGAAAACAGAACAAAGCAAATTTATTTTTTTAAAAAAAAGTAATGTGATGATAATCAATCAATTATATTAAATTTTACGCAATTCTTTGATGTAAGAGTAATGTGATTAACTACATAAGCATGGTTAACTTTTTCATAAATAATTATAAAAATTTCAGTTTTTAGTTTTTAAGCATGGTTGCATAATTTCATTTTGGTGAGTTATAGCAAACTCCATGCTGGAATTTTAAAATTTTCACTTGCTTAGAAAATTAATACAATGCTTAATTTATTTATATTTTGGATTTGGATCGAGAGAAAAACCTTTTGATGCACATAATAGAACATATACTTAGTAATAAGTTGTGTATAGTTTTTATAATAAAGTCCGATTATATGATAAATTAGTATTGGTTAGTTTACACAGTGATCATATCTCGTGAATAGAAGGATAATTGGATTAAGCAATAAATTTCCTTGCATATCCACCATTTCTTCAACAAAAATCATGATCATAATAATGTTGCATGTATTAATTCTCATAAATGAATTAATGTTTGTTTGATCGTAAAATTGATCAATGTCCATTTGTAAAAATAATTCAATATTACTGTGGATCAGTTTTAATATTTCCTAATGTTGCTCTTAGGAGACCAATTCACATGAATCATTGTTTGCTTAAAATTTATACGTTATACAGGTAAAATTGGTGTTAACAATATGTGTATCAGTGTATGCTATAACAATACTCCATGCAATTGATTTTTCTGATGTTGCATAAATAAATGTTTGATGTAATGTACATATTATTATTTTTTTTCTAAGACATTTTTTTCCCAAATCAAATATTTTTCTTGGAATTAATGCAAATTTTTATTTGAGTTAAAAGTTAAATATAGAATAGAAAACCAGAGGAAAAAAAATAAAAATAAATGAGAAGTTTTGTAATAATCTTTTGTGATTTTCTTAAATATATATTAAGGAGGGAGACTTATTTTAAATTAATCAAAATTACTTTTTAAAATTTTTTTTGACCGTCCTAAAATTTATAAAAAAAAAAATATTATAAGTTTATAAATAAAAATTATTATGTTAATTTATATTTAAAAAAATAAATAAATATAAGATTAATATATACTGTCATATAAAGAGATAAAAATAAATAAATAAATAATAAACTATTTATTATATTAAAATATTTATATATATAAGTGTTAAAAAAATCTTAACCCCTCTGTAGATAAATTTCTGGCTCCCCCTTTGATTGAATGTAAAATTTAATCGTGATGGTACAAATTATGTATCTATATATTTATTTTATTAATATAATAATTATGTGGCTATTTTGACATTCCCGCTTTCTGGTTCAGTTTCAGTTGATCCTCTAAAGTGAAAGCAAGCGAGGGTAGAGGGTAGAGGGTAGAGGGTAGAGGGTAGAGGGTAGTTTGGTACTTGCACAGAGAGCTATATATAAGAAATTTGAAGGGAGAAGACCTAATTGAAGTATTTCACCACCGTTTCATCTTCCCTGACCTGAGTCTCTGGGCGAATGGAGGGGTTGAAGGTCGCAAAAGCCAACTTAAAAGTATACATTCATCCTTCCAAAAGCAATCAAGTCTCCCGAGCCGTTCTCCGCGAACTCAGCTCCTTGCTTTTCACGTACGCTTCTCCCAATCGCAATGAAAACCTCTCACCTCATCGTCGTTCCTAACCTCGCTCTTCTTCCTTCCAGGTACAACGAGATCTTCGACGGCGTCGTTTTGGCCTACGATGTCAACTCGCTCGACCCCTGCGCCAAGATCCTCCCCGGCATCAACCCTTACATCGGCGTCAAACTCAAGGTTAACCTGTTGCTCTTTTCTCCCAAGCCGGACACGCTCTTAGGTACGCTTCTCTTCTCCAGTGCCTCTTTCTTTATCGCGAAAATCCACGCCTGTGTTCATTATTAGGGTTCCGTGTTTGTTTTGTTGCTTTCAGAAGGGAAGGTGGTTAAGCTTACGCAGGAGTCCATTCACCTTGTTGTGCTTGGCTTCTCATCCGCGATTATAGCCGAGAAAGACATCAGGGAAGAGTTCCTGTGCAAAACGGTGAGTTCTCTCTGTAATGTGATTTGGTCGTTGGTTGCTGTTCAGTTTAACGATTAGTTAATTAGTCCTATTTGTGTTAGTAATTAGCGAGAGAGACTTTAGGGAAGAGTTCGTGTGCAAAACGGTGAGTTCCTCGCAGTAATGTGATTTGGTTGTCGGTTACTACTCGGTTTAGCGATTAGTGGTGCTAGCGATTAGTTAATTAGTGATGCTGATTAATTAATTAGTCTATTTGTTTAGCGATTAACAGTAAAGGCATTAGGGAAGAGTTCGTGTGCAAAACGGTGAGTTCCTTGCTTTAAAGTGATTTGGTTGTTGGTTGCTACTCGGTTTAGTGATTAGTTAATTAGTTTTTCTGATTAATTAATTAATGATTAATGATTAGTTACCCCTGTTTGTTTTAGCGATTAATTATTGGTGCTGATATGGTTTGTGTGATTCGTCTTTGTAGAAACGAGGGCAAGAGGTGTACGCGAGCAGGACTAACAAGCGGCATGTGATAAAGGTCGGAACCGTGATACGGTTTTTAGTCAAGAGGTGACATACTGTTGATTTGCTTCAATCAAGACTAATTATGTTTGAATTCTAGCTTCTCCCTTGAACCTGAAAAGAAGAATCAGATTCATAAGCTTGAATTTTGAGAACAAAGTGAATAGTTCACTAAAACTTGGCACAAGAATTTTCTTGGTTGCGTGTAATGGAATGCATGGTTTTGCAAGTTGCATGCATGTTTCCAAAGCGTGAACCTCAGGCTAATGGGAATATAATCCACGATTTCAAGTTTTAAGATATACAATACATCACATTCTCAAAGTGGCGTGCATGACCTGTATATAAATTTATCATACACTTAAGAAATTGTTGTTTGTTCTCTTCACAGTAGCCTAGAAATGTCATAAGATTCTGATGTTATGAATGGATGAGAGATGTTATTTTTGGTGACTTGTTGCATAAATTTTCAAACTGTAACTGTATCACAGCTCCACACTGGCCAAAAGATACATTAGGCCAGTTTGTTTAAAATTATGAAAAAAGAGGTGATTATTAAAAATAAAAATAAAAAAGTAATAGGAGTTGCTTCTTAAAAAAAGTAGAAATCTTTTTTTATTATTATTAATAAACAGCTTACACAAACACATCAAAAAAGAAGAAAATTGCTTATTTTTATTAAACAAATATTTTTTCTTACAATGACCCTGGATGTAAACTTGTAAAATTTATGAGTTTAATATCTCATCTAATGACTAAATTTTGATTATGTATCTTTGCAGCTTTGACGAAGAAATACTTCATGTTTATGGATCTCTGATTCCCGAACACACAGGCAGCATTTATTGGTTGGATAAGAACTTGGAAGTTGTTTCCCATAATGACAGGTTATTCTCATATAATTTGTAGATTCAAAATAATACTTTTGAAAGTTTATAATTCATGCTTAGCTGTCTTAAAAAACTTACAGGAGTGAAAAGAAAAGAAAAAGTGAGGGAGAACAAATAATGCTACAGCAACATGCTGTGAATGGGGAACTGTCATCCTTGGACATTGTCCAAAAAAGAAAAAATTCGAAGAAGCTAAAACACCAGGAGGAATCTTGAGTGTAGCATCGGAATCTTATTTTATAGTGCACTTTATCTTCACAGGTAAATTTTCTATTTTTAGTTGATTATATATTAAGTGCCTAAAAATTTCAGGATTGATTATGTCCTGTAAGTTAATGCTGTTTCTGCATTAAGTTTTTGACAATGTTATTTTTTGTTTACATAATATTTCAACACATAAGGAAAGGAGTTATGTTTATGTTCAAGTTGTTAAACAAATGCCTGATTCCAATATACTCACTTTGACACATCACACTGTAGGATTCTCATTTCCTATGGAAGGCTGCCCATTCTCTGCATATATGGAATAGCAACCCCCTAGAAAATCACCAAACAAGCCAGGAAATATATCTGAAATACAAAACCGAACTCTTGGGGGACTTTTGGAGTGTGGAATATTTTTACTTTCATAGGAATCTGAAGTTGGAAATGTTAGTTTCTGACATTTGGTTTATTATTTAAAAATTAACATTTCTAGGAAACATGGTTTCTTGGGAATGTTTTTTATACAAGTATCCTATCAAATTATTCCCATGGATAGGTGGGAATCTAACATTCTCGAATTAAAAAGAATTTTTTACTGTGGTAAAAATATTACATTGTATTAATTTTCTTCGATAATGTAGTAAAAGAAATTGATTCTCAAGTAATGTTTATAAACATTCTCAAAAGCATTTGTGACCAACCCAAACAGAATTAATCATTCCTGGGAATCATTATTCCCAAGATTTATGATTCTTGGGCATGAAAAAATTCTTTCTACCAAACGCCTCCACATTGCTGCAATAGCCACTTCATGTTTTGCAATTATATATCACAGTGCTTAAATACTTAAAAATAAAATAAAATAAAAAAGCAGATTGAGTAAAGATATATAGTCTACAAAATCCATCAAAATAATTAGAGTATTTAAAAGATTGAGTGTTTTCACTCGTACCCTTATTGTAGTTTCATTGTGTCATTTATATGGAAACCATAGAACAGGGATTTATACCTTTGACTTGTAAGGAAGATAATTTGACTCCACCTGAAATTGCACAAAAGCTGCAGAATTAGCTGTATTCTTTAGTGTGCCACTTTGTATTGACTTAAGTAGAAATTTCACTAAAACCTGCATAACTGTCCTATCTAAAAACCTTTTATGTGAAGGCTTGTTGCATGGATGACACATTTCGTATCCATCGAAATTGTAGTAAAGAGTGAAGGGAAGGGAAAGTAAAAATTTATTGAATGTCTTAAATAAGCATGGAAAATTATCTTAAAACAGAATTGATACAGTATCTTACTTCCAAGTGTTTTAGATAAAGAGAGGACGCAATGATTATATAGTGCTAGTGTTATAGATAGTGTAGTATGTTTTCTATTTTTGTTGTCTTGAGGCCTATAAAAGGTCGGTTGTCATTTTATTGGAAATGTAAAGTATGTTTTTCTGTATATGTTTGACTTAATGTTGTAAAATTGAATATCGTTTAGTTTAATGTTCAACATAGAGCTTAATACCACAATAGGATGTTGTGTGCAGCGGTGCAGCCCTTAGCATAATAGCACCTCTTTAATTGGTTCATTGAAGAACACTGATGTCTTGTCCCATTCACATTGATCCATTGAAACATTTATTGGTGGAGCCTCATGTGCACACTATTTTTTGTATTAATCTTGGCTGCATCTGAATCATAGCTCGGGACGGGAATGAGGCTTCTAGAATTGTTACAATTGTATATTTATACAAATTCAATTTTTTTTTCATACATCTAACTGAATTTAGATTTCCAGCATCTATAATATTTGTGTAACATTATTTAGTATGTACTTTCTGGAGAAGTCTATAATGGCTAATCAGACGAATGGCATTGCATAATAGCTAAATTTATGGATGCATAAATTGAGTTTGTCATCTGATGTCAAGTATGTTTGATTTTTATGAAGGACTTTCATCAGGAAAACAAATCGGCATGTCTTCATTACCGAGGGATGCTTCAGCATTTTGAATTCTGAAAGGATTCTCGAAGTTACCTTGGACATAAGTGCACTTGTTTCAGTTAAATCACAATTCTTTCAGAATCTTATTGATGATAATTTATGGAACCTTGTACTTTTACTGTATGATTGAGTAGCCTTACAAGGTGTTTTTTTTTTGGAGGGGAGCGGGGGATACAAAGGCTAGTGCATTTTCAGTTTAGGAATTGCATGTTTGCAGTCTTTATTCTATTAGTTAGGGCTTGAATTCTTTAGGAAGTGAGACCTATCCATGTATATCATTGAGTCTCATAATTAGAAAATGGTGGATTACTGAGTATGAGAAGGTTGCTTGTTTCTCTAGTTTTGATCACATTTTATGTTATATACTAAAATGATCTTCAAATTTTCGTCTGTTATGCTACAATGCTATTATTTTTTGTGACAATTTGACCAGCTAAATGTTAATAACGTTTCTCTCCTTAAATCTAATGACATTGAAAGAAATGGTGTGGAGCATATGAAGTCACAAATTTGTTTTGGTCTGCACAACTAGTTCCACGGGGAATATAATTGCAAATGTGGCTTTTCAATCATTGTGTTTGAGGAACTTGTCCAAGTTGGGATGGCAAAAAAAGGTCGTAATCAGAGTGTGATGTAAAGAGGTAACTAGGTAGTCATTTTGATTTTTAAATTTACGAATTATAAGCGCTCACGCGTAAAAGTCGTGCCTAATGGGGAGGTGGGGGGGGGGGACCCCTGATTTATGCTATTCATTTTCAACAACCCGTTTCGATAAGTATTTTAAACTAAGGCTAAAAGATATATATGCTTTAAGGAAAAAGTCTAGGCCCCGCTTCCTCATCCAATGCTTGTTTTTCTTTTCTTTCTTTTCAGTCCACAATGTCTTCCCCTTAAAGCTATTATCTTGCAATTTTCTAATTTCCACTTTTCCCCCCTCATGCCGTTTTAAATGAAATTTTAAAATATACTAAGCGCAATTATTTCAGTTAGCTTTTGCTTTTGAGCGGCATTTATCCGAATAACTGGGGAAGAACTATGAAGCTAAGTTTTATCTATTACAAGTCTCAGCTGTAGGAAAGATAGTCGATCAATAGTCTCCGTCTGAACTCTTCGGTTGCACTTGGAAACCAACTTTATAACTGCGAAAATGTGTTCTCTTACCAACGAAAAAAGAAAGAGATATTTATCATTTACACGTTCAAAAATGTAATTCAAAATAAAAATCACCTTTAAAATGTAAAAAATTATAACTGAAAGTTTTCATTCTAACGTGATTTATCACGTTGAAAATCTGAACCAAACACACGGAATATTATACAACTGATTCCATATACAGTTGGGGAATCAATATTATATTCTTGGAAAGGTTGTTACATAATTTTAAATGTAAAGTAGTGTAGTATTACGTATCCTTGAATTTTGTTCTTTATTGAATTCCAATGAAAATCACCAGGCAATTATGCATTTTTTTAACTACAATATAAGGAGGTTGGTTTTATGGTTAAAATGTGTTTCTGCATTAATAATTGACATCTGAATTAAATTTTAGAAAGAAACACTCGTCTCTAAAATTGATTAATAGCTAGTTAACCAATTAAGCCGAGAATGCAATTTTAAGTTTCTCGTACCATGCAATTTTAGAAGGACAATTCCAGCTTTCATTCAACATTGGGCGTTTCTAAACCCATGACATTTTCACGGTTTAGGTGAAAACCAACCAAAGGACTCGTTTACGGTTTTCAGTTGTTGGAATAGTCAATTGATTTTGAGTTTGTGACTACAACTCATACTATGAGGTGAAATAATGGGATATCTGATTATTTTACATAATAAAGTGGACCCTATTGGCACGTTGTCTACAATACTTGGGTCTATGAAATTCTAGTGTGAATCTAAGATGATTGACTTGGAGTTTGGATGGTGCGTAATTTCTACGATGTTTCGTTGTTTACTCACTTTTCCCTTTCATTATTTCGTGTTAAGGTCATAAATGGCATTTTGGAGTCATTAGTTCAGGACCTTCATTTACCTTTTCTATTTTAAAAATAATATAAAAAAAAGGAGTCAATTCAAGATAACAGTGCTTTTGGATAAATTTAACATTCTTTTTAGATTACAATATGAATACGATACATACCAACATTAACGATTCTCGATCCTACTCAAACTCAAATTTGTACTTAAGAAAATTTAATTTAATTTTACTCAAATAAACTATTTTGTAAATAAATATAATTAAATTCTTTTTTAATGAAAATTCAGGTCATAAATTTAATTTGTTGTCATTAATCTAAATAATTTTCGTGAAAAATCTTCTAAACAATCTCTCAAGTTATTGCGTTTTTAACGATTGATTTTATTTGACAAAAAAAAGTAATTTTCTTTTATTACCTTTTAAAAAAGTCAATTAAAAAAGTTGAACCTAGAAAATAATTAACTTTACTACGTATGTAATTCTTATACTAGTAGTTTAATTGAGAAGAGTAAGAAAAATATATGTAGTAGTATAAGGAATTTTAAACTTCTAAAACGACTCTTTATCTCTTTTTTTTTCTTCTTCTAATTTCTCGTTATCTGATGGATTGAATTAACTGAGCCAAATAATTGTCATGAAATAATTGTTATTTTTTATATAGTGTGAAATATTTATTAATTTAATTAATAACTAATCTTTATCAGAGAATTTTTTGTACATAAAACTTGAACATTAAATCTATCTTACTTTAAAAAAATTGAGTCTAATATCATTCCGATAAATAATTTGTTGATTGCTAATTTTTTCTTTATAAATAGAGGTTACATTCTTTTAGAAATAAACAAGTAACCAGTTAGATATAATTTATCTTTATTTTTACCTAACTCAAATTTTAATTGAGATATTTATTTAAACTCAAATTCAATATAATCAAGATTCAAAATATATGTGATGAGATTAATATGACACGATGAATCATAAAGAAAAAAAAAGTGATAATATTAAATTTAGAATATAAAAGTTTTACTTAAAAAAACTGTAAAACAAAAAAAAAAGTTGTAAAACTTTTGTATGATGGTATCAAAATATATTTTTACATTAAATGCATGGTCCAACATTAAACTGATACTTTTGAACAAGAACAAGGTTTATGGGAAAATAATCACTTATAAAAAATTGTAAAGTTTTTGAGTATAATTTTTTCAAAAATCAAAATCATAAAAGAAACAATTTGCTACAAATTTTTTTTATATTATTATCATTAAAGTTAGCTGTTCCAGTTTCTCAAAACAAATCACCTACGTTGGATGAGAGAAATCTCTTAGAAAAGACAATACTACAATTTCTCTGCTCTTGTCCATTGTGAAAATACTCACATGTTCATTACAAGTTTGTAATCCAATCCTTTTCACATGTTATTAACTTCTAAGTTTGACAATTTACGTATTACATTAAAATAAATGAATTAAAATAATATAGTCATTATATATATATATATATAGATATACATTTGTCTCACAATAAATCATCAATTTTCTTTAGTTTTAAGTTAATTCACTCGGTTATAGATTAATTATACTTGCGATATTATGATTGTCACAAACGAATTTACATGTGACAAAGATTGAACACATTTTCTAATAAATAGATTGTCCTTATAATATATAAGCATCATTATTTTTTTTATAAATATAAATAATTGATCTAATTTAACAAAACATAATATATATTGGTTCTCAAAATATTTAGAACAAGAGACTCTATATTTTTTGTTATATATTGATCATGAAATTAATTAATACTACTTTAGTTTATTTTTATTAAAAACAAATATTACATTCATCAAAGTCGCCTAAACACTATTATGATTGTCACATACGCAGAGGTTTTATATATAGTGGAGATTGAAGATGAGATTTTCTAATAAATAAACTATCTTTACAATGTACAGACACGAGTAAAAGTAACTAATCAATACGTCAATTCATTGAATTGATGAATCACTTATTCTTTTTGGTAAATAATAAATCAATGATCTAACAATTTCTTTTACACAAATTTTTTCTAATAGTATGACTCGTTAATAGACTCATAATAAATGAATAATATAAAACAATATTATCACTTAATATATTAAAAAATAAACTGTTGTTTCTTATGATTAGAGATAACATTAAAAAAAATTAACATAATACTCCGTTTTTTTTATATACTTAGAAACTGAGATAATAGTATATTTTAGTTTACTTGTATCAATATTAATATATAGTATAGTATGTTTAACATATAATTATGCCGCTTTAGAATATGATCAGACATTGGATTATCAAGTTATTATGTATTAATGAGCATCAATTAATAGGAAAAGAAAATTCTTCATGTGAATCTCCATATCTTGACACCGCATAGATCTTTCACGAGAAACAATCAATCTTGTTTAACTCACAAGTCTAACCAAAACTCAAACTATAAATTACTACTAATGAAAGTAGAAAAAATCTAAACTAGTTAACCCACGCGGTAAAAGATTATATCTGGAATGAAAATTTATATTTTTCAAAATGGAATTTTTATTAAAAAAGAAAAAGTTTGTGTGTAATTTTTTGTCCCAATACAAACGCCCTCGTTTTCAGCAAAAGCAAGTGAAGTAGTCAAAGAAACAAACTCGTTTAAGTCTTCGCGTCCCTCAATAGTCTAGTCGTCTCTGTCTGAAATTGCCCCAAAAAAACAAAGGAAAAAAAGAGAAAAAAGCTTGCCTTAGCGTGTCATTTGTTTGACTCGGTGAATATATTTTCTTTTGTATTCTTATCCCAATTCATGAAGCACACTATGTTCTTTCCCATCACAACTATTTGTGACTCTCTCTCTCTGCACAATTCTTGGTCTAGTCTTCCTTTTCTGCTGTTCACTGTGCCTTACCCTTTGTTTTGGGCAAACTGATGTTTCCATGTTGTTTAAGAGTTGACTAGCTAAATATCCCAGGTGGGTATTTGAGTGCTTTGTGCAAAATTCATGTGATTTCTGAATCTGGGTTGCTTCGGTTTACTCTTGTATTGATTTATGTCAAAAGGGTTTCTCAGGCTTTATTAAAAATCCTTTTTTTTTTTAATATATGTTTAGTGTTTTTTGGTGTAGACTTGGAATTTTGTGCTAAAGGGGGAAAAAGTTTTTTTTTTTTTTTTTTTCCTTTGGTTTTGGTTTATTGGTTGGTGTGAGCTTTGAAGTGCTGAATTGAGTTCATGATGTTTGTTTTATTGTGTTTCAGGGTGTGTTCTTAGGAGGGTTGCAGCTATGGAGTCTATAGATTTTATGCTGCAGTTTCATTAGATACCGATTTTGGTGAATTATTATAATAAATTGTTCTTGGCTTTTTGTTAACGATGGTTGTGGGTAGCCAAATTTTTGTTGCTAGTTTCTTTCTGCTGATTCTCCGTGGCATGGTTTATGGGACTGATAGTGATATATTCTGCTTGAGAAGTGTAAAGAATGCGCTAAAGGACCCTTACAATTATTTGCAATCATGGAATTTCAACAACAACACAGAAGGGTACATATGCAAGTTTATTGGGGTTGAGTGTTGGCACCCTGATGAGAACAGAGTCTTGAACATCAAATTGTCTAACATGGGACTCAAGGGTCAGTTTCCTCGCGGAATTCAAAATTGTTCAAGCTTAACTGGATTAGATTTTTCGCTTAACAGATTGTCTCAGACCATTCCGGCGGATATATCCACCCTTCTTACATTCGTGACATCTCTTGATCTATCTTCAAATGATTTTACTGGGGAAATACCTGGATCCCTTGCAAACTGTACCTATCTTAATAATCTTAGACTTGACCAAAACCAACTCACTGGTCAAATTCCTGCAAACTTGAGTCAGCTCCCTCGGCTTAAGTCGTTTAGTGTTTCCAATAATTTTTTGACAGGGCTAGTTCCACCCTTTAAAACTGGTATAGCTAATGCAGAAAATTATGCAAATAATTCAGGCCTCTGTGGTGGTCCCTTGGAGGCTTGCCAGGCCAAGTCTTCAAAGAGTAACACTGCAGTTATAGCTGGAGCAGCTGCTGGTGGTGTGACTGTTGCAGCATTAGGACTGGCCATTGGAATGTTCTTCTATGTGCGCCGTCTTTCTTATAGGAAGAAGGAAGAGGACCCTGAAGGAAACAAGTGGGCAAGAAGTCTAAAGGGAACTAAAACAATAAAGGTATATTGATGCATAGCTTACTACATATGTGATTATATTATACTTGGGAGCTGATATTCATTTTTCTTCTTAGATTGATCCATGATTTATATAATTGTTTAATGAGTCAGGATCCGTTAATACCAGGTGTAAGTTTTTAATAGATCCTAACTCTTTGTTTAATTATGTAAAACTTCTTCAATAGAGAAAAAAACATGTCATGGGTAATATTTTTATTGCAAACTATCTATTTTGATAAAATTTTCAATTTCAGCATTCTTTAACAAATGATATATCTTTTTGGTTGTTCATTATATTCACTATGAAAAATTCTTTTGCTTACTGGCATGCCAAATGCACGAAAACAATATATTTTTTTTGTAGCATACATGATTTCATGTGATTTGAACTCTTGTGTATTATGCCTAACTATGCGGAATCGTACACCAGGTTTCTATGTTTGAGAAGGCAATTTCAAAAATGAACTTGAGTGATCTCATGAAAGCTACAAATAACTTCAGCAAAAGCAATATTATTGGGTCTGGAAGGTCAGGAACTGTTTACAAAGCTGTCCTTTCTGATGGCACATCACTCATGGTTAAGAGATTGCAGGAATCTCAACACTCAGAGAAAGAATTTCTGTCTGAGATGTCTATACTAGGGTCTGTCAAACACCGTAACTTGGTTCCTCTTTTAGGTTTCTGCCTGGCCAAAAAGGAGAGGCTTTTGGTCTATAAAAATATGCCAAATGGTACCCTCCATGATCAACTACATCCAGCTACTGGTGCATGCACCATGGATTGGCCTCTAAGGCTCAAGATTGCAATTGGAGCAGCCAAAGGATTAGCATGGCTTCACCATAGCTGCAATCCCCGCATTATCCACCGAAACATAAGCTCAAAGTGCATCTTGTTGGATGTTGATTTTGAGCCCAAAATTTCTGATTTTGGCCTTGCTAGATTGATGAACCCAATTGACACACATTTGAGTACTTTTGTAAATGGGGAGTTTGGGGATTTGGGTTATGTTGCTCCTGAATATACAAAAACTTTGGTGGCTACACCTAAAGGGGATGTTTATAGCTTTGGTACTGTGCTTCTCGAGTTGGTGACAGGTGAAAGAGCTACACATGTGGCTAGAGCTCCAGAAACTTTTAAAGGAAATTTGGTAGAATGGATTGCACAGCTAACTAGCAATGCAGAACTACATGATGCCATTGATGAATCACTAGTTGGCAAGGGTGTGGACAAGGAGGTTTTCCAATTTCTGAAGGTTGCATGCAACTGTGTCACAGCAATACCAAAGGAGAGGCCTACCATGTTTGAAGTGTTCCAGCTTCTAAGAGCCATTGGGATTAATTATAATTTCACAACTGAGGACGAGATTATGTTGCCTGAAGACACTGGTGATGCTGATAACTTAGAAGAACTCATTGTAGCACGAGATGGATCGTGATTGAGGAGGTATGTGAGATATAATTAGGGTATGTACTCAATTTCAATATGTAAGTATTTCTTGCTTTGTGGCACTAAAATAAATGTTAGATTTATATATAGGTTTTATGGTCTAGACTCTAGATCCATTTGTGTGCTTATCAAATATTGAAACACCAATTTAATATGATCAAAATCATGAATGCCCTTTATATATAGGTGGCTTTGTTATGATCCTTATTTTGTTCTAATTTCCTTGTTCTCCCACTTGGCACTTGCATATTGATATGTTGGAGGATTTTCCTTGCCCCTTAAGTACTTCATGAGTTACTGTCATTATTAAATCTGTCCTCATGTGGCTTAAACGTGTAATTAATCTATTGGAGCAAAATTTGATGAAAACCATTGAGGATCATCATGCAAAGTTTCATGTTACATTGTATTATCTATGCGCATTGTACAGAAAGTATGCATTTAATATCCTATCTGTTGCTTCCACAATCCCATGTGCATGGGTGGATGTTCATGTAGGACGTGGGCCAATATGTATGTTCTTGGTCACATTCTGTTTTGGCCGTTGAAGCATTGATAAATAAATACTACAGTGTTTGGAAATGCAAAGAATTGAATATGTATGGATTCAGTTATTATCGTGACATAAAATCAGAAGAAAAAAAGATTGTGGCATTGTGCAACTCACTTATACCTGTTTGTTTTATAGGTTAACTTGCTAACCAACTTAATTAAGCATGTATGTAGCTTAAGAGCTTATTTGAGCTTATAAAATAGCTTATGACTTTCAAGCTCTTTTTTTTTTTTTTTTTTTAACTTATTTCAATATTTTGTTTATATTATTTATCAACACAAGCTTTTTTAGTTTAGTTTATTCCAATCAGCTTCTTGGTATAATTTAACAAAACCAACTCACCTTAGCTTATTCTGATAAGTTTTATGATCAAATTTATGGTGCAAACTTCCATGTGATAATAGTTTATTGAATAAAGAATTGTTAAATGCACATAAAACTTATTTTGATAGATTTCGCTAAAGTATATTGAAGTAAAATTTAGAGTTTATCGGATTTGTAAGTCATTTCCATAACTCCAAATAAAATCTATAGAAGCTCTCTTACAATTACAACCTAAGCATATCAAAAGATCATTAGTTACTTTAAAATTTTGTAAATATTTAGAGATCAGCTACTGAAAAGAGAATAGGGGAGAGGAATCTGAATCATGAATAAGAATATATATATATATATATATGTGTGTATATGTGTGTATAAGAACTTAAAAAAAATTTGTGTTTGAATTGGTGATCAAGGTAAATGTAACTAAAATTTGTAGATATTGCAAAGAAAAAGGTTTATTTCTGTTTGGGACCAAATCAAGCTTCTCTTACTGCATGGGCCCTGTCTCCCAAACAATTTCCCTATAAATTAAATCTTAGGTGAAAAAACTCACACGTTACTGGTGAATTTTTGTTACATTCAAAAGACAAATCTGAATCATATCTTGTACATTCCCCACCATTACCAAAAGGCATCACAAAAGTCTTAAAAAAAACAGTGAATTTGTTGTGGATAAGCATACGGCAGTATAAAGAGTATCCTAGCAACAAAGTTGGTCATAGTTGCAAATACTACGTGTCAGTACAAAGTTTGTCCCAGATGTACACATTTTGAGGAAATTTCTGATTTCGATAAATTCTTCAAAAATTTTGTAGTGTGTGCGCGGATTCGAAATCAATTGTACAGATTTGAACATAACGGTTAGGGTTTTCGTGCAAGTTTGAAAGAGAGAGAAATTACGATTAGTTTCATACTTAGAAATCATATCATGATTCGTGATGATTTTCAAAATTTTAAAAATAATTAAAATATTTTTAATTACGTCTATAAAAATATTCATATAAGATTCTTGGAAATTAAAAACCTTTATGTTTAGTTATAATAATATATTCATTAGGATATAAATATTTTTTATAAAAATAATTTAATATTATTTTAAAATTTTAAAAATTTATAATTAAAATTATTTAAATACTAAATTCAACAAAAGAAATAAACAAAAAAATGTTACATAATAATTAAGAATGATAAAAATATGTTATTTCATTTCATTCAAATAAATAAATAAATGTTAATAAATACCATTAAATCATAGAAATAGAACAAATTTTAATAATATTATTAAAATTGACAATGTCAATAAATAATGAAATACAAGAGAGAAAGAAAAACAAAAATATGGAAGAGAAGGAGAGGGAAAAAGAGAAATAGAAAGAGAGAGAGTGAGAGAGGGGGAATGAGAAATAGAAATAGAAGGGGGAGGGAGAAAGAGAAAGTGAGAGATTTTTCGTGTTTAAAAAATGATACTATGATTTTTTTTACATGCATTAAACTTTTTCCTTAAGTCAGAAAAGTTAGATTTTCAACTCCTCTATGAGAATATTTTAGTAGAAAAGTGGGATAAAAATGGTTCTCCAGAAACATATTCCATGTACTAAACACCCTCTAGCCTAAATATATTTATTAAAGAAGTGTTTTGCAGTTAAATTCAATCTTACAAAATTAACTTGTAAGGTAATGATTGTTTCTTTTATATACACTTTTATGGTGATATCACTAGTCAATGTTGGATTTACAACACATGTTGAAGACTAGATATCGCAAGCTTGAAGTTTGTAAAATTGAACTTCTGTAGGTAGTTTGATAAGGACTCAATAACATATGACATGATAAATCCACTAACAATTGTCACAATAAGTTTTTGATATCATTTTAAGTAAGTGCTTTGGATCCTAACATAACTTTAAAAAATTGATTTGTAAGGTAAGAGCCCACTTAAGGGCGACAAAACAAGTCACAACCACTGATTCATAAAAGTTAGTTAACTAGACTAGGTGTCTTTCTTTTTTTTTTTTTTTTAATGTTTTTGTTTATTTATTATTTTTAATGTAAGTTTAATTAAGTCACTTTAGATTTATTTTGTATATAATTTGTGATTTGTTGGACGATAAATTTGTTGTATATTTATTTTATTATATGTAATTTGAGATTTATTGTACAATAAATCTATTACAAGAATTATAAATATTATTATAATTACACACACACACATACACACACACACACACACATATATATATATATATATATATATATATATATATATTATGCACCAAATATGAGATTGTTGTACAACAAATCAAATCAAATTAGTTGTAATTTGATTTTTTATTATTATTTTGGTACACTTATTTATGTAAGTCTCTTAGATATTGAGAAAAAAATATGTTTGAAAATTAATTCAAAATAAATATGCAAAAAGATTTTTTCTCCTTTTTTCCCTTTTTGTGTTTTTGTCTTTTTAGTTTTATTTTATGTTTTTGGTGCACCAATGTCCTTAGACGAGACGGGTCAAAGTTTTCAGCCCATTTTTGTTTGGCGGGCTAAACCTAAATGGGTTAGGCTAGTCTATTTTCTCATCCCTATACCCATTTATATATACTTTTATGGTCATATTATTGATCAATATGGAATTTCTAAAAATATTATCATGGGAAATCAAGATTCACTTAAGTAATATTTACGTTTCAAAAATAAATTAGTCCTATTTAATGATTAAAAAATATTCATAATAAATATATATGAAAAAGATCTGTTTATTCTAGGAGTAAGTCTAACTAGACTTACTTCATTCAATAACTTATATTTTATATCAAAATTCAACAATCCAACCGTTGAATTTAAAGTTCTTAATATATTGATCAAGTTTGTAAATTTTTAAATTTTTTTAAAAATTATTTGATACTTTGTTTCATTAATTTCAATCGATATATAAAATATTTTTATAATTATTTGCCAATTTGAATTAATGAAACGAAATATCAAATATTTTTAAGAAATTTACAAATTTGATTTATATATTGAGAGCTTCAAATTCAATGATTGGATCATTAAAATTTGATATAGAACATGAGTTTTTGAACGAAGTGAATTTAAATAAACTTATTTTTGAAATAAACAAAATCCTCCTCATATATACATATACATACATACATACGTATATATATATATATATATATATATATATATATAACAATATATAAATGAAGCATTTTTACTCTTAATTATTTTTTATCTCCACCTTATTGAAACAATTTTATTCTTAAATATTCTTATTTTTTTCTTTCCTTAAAGAACCTTTTCTCTCACTTTTTAAAGAGTAAAAGAATAATTAAATTAATAATTTTTAAAATAATTATTATAAAATTTAATAAATTTATTAGTTAATAGGATAAAAAAAATCAGAATTATTACATGTACTATTTTATCAATAAAAAAAGTAATATTTGACAAATAATTATACAATGCAATGAAATGGCTTCTTATTGGTCGGTCGACAATAGATACAACTGTGGTCAGTGCTAAATTAATTGTGTGTATTTTATTGTTTTGGATCCGACAGAAATGACTTTAGATGACATTATTTGTCTAGATAAAACCAACATAGATAAGACCTTTTTTTTTTCTTCCTTAAAGTAATCCCGTTAATATATAAATAAGAATACACTTACTTGTAACTTAATTCAAAATGGTTATGATTTTAATTATTAAAATTTAAGAATAATACCCATTTACTTATATATTTTATAAACAACCTCATTTGAAAAGGTCATTCATTTCATTCTGTGATTAAAAAAATTACATGAATATTAAATCTAATTCCAACCAAAGCATAAATCCAAATGCTTCAATTATTATGTTGTAGTTACAATTTTTAATACAAAAATGTTTTTTAAGGTTGGTTTTTTCACACAGTTGTGATCTCTATGTATCCATTTTTCATACCAAAAAATATCCATATATCCATTTCAGACTAGGAAAGACAAATTAGTGCAAACAAACATATTAAAAATGATCTGAAAATAGATTGCAACTATTTGTGATTTTTTTTTTTTTTTTTTTGAAACGTTATAGCTTTAACAAGTTACGGAATGTGACGAGTATAAGATAAAATGGAGTTATTATTACTCTCATTTCCACTCGTAGTTCTCAGCATTACTGTTCATGTTTCTTATATTTTACAAGTTTAACTTACTCCTTAATACTACTTCTTCTTTTCTTTTTCTTTTTTACAAATCGGGCCATTGAATTTTAAATTTTTAATGCATTGATCAAATTTATAAATTTTAAAATAATTTAAAAATAATTTGATATTTCATTTCATTAATTCAAATTGGTAGATAATTATAAAATTATTTTATACGTTAATTTGAATTAATAAAATAAAATATCAAATAATTTTTTTTAAAATTAGAAGACTTAACTTATACATTAAAAATATTAAATTTAATTATTGAATCGTTAAAATTTGAAGTGAAAAATGAACTATTAAACAGAATAAGTCTAGATGAACTTACTCCTAGACTAAATGGATCTCTCTATATATATATATTTATAACTACTTCAAAATTATACAACTTGTGTGCCTAGCGTCATTCCTTGGACGTTCGACACCATTGAAGTAGGGACTTCCTATCTTGTCCACACTTAACGCCAAACTACCTATGTCTAGCATGATTGAGATAGAGAGTTTCTCATTCTCTCACGCCTAGTGTGGTGACCCCAATCAGGTATAGGACCTTAGACTGACTCACATTTGGCGACACTCCTCTAATGTAGGCAAAGACAATTCTCTTTCCTTATACGCGATGCCACCAATCAAGTGCTTAATGGGAGCAAGATGAACCCCCTTGGTTGAAGCCACACCCAACATATTGAAGGTACGCTCAAAGTGATACCCATTTTTGCACCTGGAAGAAACACAAAATGCCCAATTCCACTTGAAAACCAACAACCCAACAACATGCAATACACAATACAACGTATAGGTAACAAATAACTCGAAAACTCATTAATACACAACCAAAGCCACAACTCAACAATATCATCCTCTCTTTTTCAAATTGCAATCTAAAATAACAATCAAGAAAAGAAATTGAGAGAGAACATCAACTACAAACAAGAATCAACAAATCACATGTTTCCCTTATCTCTAGTTGCTTTAAGGAGAAGAGAAGTGGAAGAAGAAGAAACTCTCCACATATATAATTCCAACTTGAGTTCTTCGGCTCCTCAAGCTTAAATCTCCTAGTTTAATCAAGTATATTCAATTGTAAAAAAGGAAAAATTTTAAATTTAAAAGAGGGTGAAGAAAATTTGGTTCAAAGAACTTTTCTTTATAGTTTCTTAAAACATAAACTTATAAAATTCATGTTTAAAGAAAAATCATATATAGCTTTTTTGAAGTTCAATCAACTTAATTATGATTCAACTACTTCATCATAATATAAGTATTTATCTTAAATTTAAAATATAATTTATATACTTAAAAATATTTATTTATATAAATTTTAAATATAATTTATTTATATATAATATATAATAAATATTTAACTTGTAAAACATACATGCTAAAATACTGTATATATGCTAAAATAATGTATATATAAAAAGTCTGAACTGAAAAAATAAAACTGTAGAATATGTTCAAACGAACGGAAATAATTACTCTTGTACTTCCCTTGCTTTCCATTTTAAGAGATATACAATACACACCATTTCCCTTCACTCATCATCCAATAATAAAAATTGAATCAAATGACGATAGATTAAGGCTATGTGCTGAGCTCATAATTCAGACTACACGCAATAAGCATCATGAGTAATTTATTGAATTACCACGATACATTAGTCATGCAAGAATTGTTCGACTCAAATTTCTTTAGGGCAATTGAATCTCAAAATATCCGTTGAGCTTGAAATTTAGCCTACCCTCTTTGTTCCCAATACCATGACTTAGATCTTTGCAATAAAAATACGGTATGCATTGCATTCGGCCATGCAAACAAAAAAGAATTGCAAGATTTGATAAATCACTTATCCAGCAAATAAACACTAAATTGTGCTTCCAGCTAACTAAATAGTAAATATCAATAACATTTCAAATTTCAACAGCTAAATTAAGCATTCGCCAATATATGGGAACCTCTAAAGAAGCAATGCAAAATGAACAAAATAGCATTGCAAACCAATCAAGTCTACTTTATTTGTTGATACAGAATTTACTGCACCACAGAATTAAATGTCTGAAAATTAAATCTCCAGAATTTCAAAAGCACAGTGCGTAACTGTATGTATGAAAACTTAATCATTATGCAGTGGATTCTTTAAGATATGCAATAAGATCTGCACGATCCTGAGGTTTCTTAAGACCAGGAAATACCATCTTCGTCCCTGGAATATACTGCACAAGAGGATAAAATAAAACACAAATCAGTAACATTGTGGTGGGAACAAATTTTCAATGTTGCCCTGCGTTGCAATATTACCATAAAATTTAACAACACAGTACCCTGACTACATTAGAAAACAGTCAAAACATTAAATCTCAAAAATTAAAATTACAGTATATAAAGTGACGTGAAATGATTCACAAACAGGTTACCTAATTAGATTTCACATTTGGATAATCAATGATTAATTAATTAAAATCCATTAAATATAAAAACACTTTTTTTCCTTCTTTTTTTTCTTCAATCTGTACGAAAGAAACAGATTGTTAATGTTACTTTGCAACATTACCATAAAATTTAACAGCAGGATGCCCCGACTATAACAGAAAACAAAGAATCTCAAAATGAATATTATACAAGTACCATGAAATGAAAACTATGCAGGTTGGTAAAGCAGATTCGAAACTAAAATACTAATTTATGCCGTACCTTTTTGGGGTTGAGCAAGTAATCATACAAGGTCTTTTCCTCCCATATCACAGCCATGTTTTTGTTAGCAGCAGAATAGGAATATCCAGGAGTTGTGCCGGATTGCCTTCCAAATAAACCATTCAGATTGGGTCCTAAGATTGTCAACAAATTGAGCAAACACTTTCATATTCAGTATTACATCATAACATTATTCATAAGGGGGAGACAGGAAACAGAAAACTAGAGATGTAATTGCAGAGAGGTATGATCACATATGTGGAAGCCCAAAAGAGATTAACTAATCACATGGGAACAAAGAAGCAACCTACAAATTAGTGACCAAGTCTGTCAAGGAAAAAGGCATAAACCCTTAGGCTTTGTTCTTTCTACAGACTTCGCACAGAAGCAAGAAAAAAAATTCAACTGAGAATTTGTTTTAATGTCACAGGAGTTATTTGAATAAAAATAAAAAATAACAGCAAACAACAGCAATAACCTTATCTCACAAGGTAAAGTCGGTTAATACAATGGTATTAAGCTTGGTTAGAAAAAAAAATTCTTAGATATAGTATTCACCATAATATCCCTTTTAAATTTTTAATAATCTCCTCCAAACATCTTTTTAGGTCCCCCTCTAACCTTTCTCAAAAACACGTGTAAACACCTAACCAACTATATATCCCTACCAGCATAAAAAAAAAACAAAAATTTAAAAATCAAAATAAAAAGTAAACATTAACAGCAGGGAAATCTTCCTCATAGAACCAAGGATACAAAAACACTCATACAAATTTCTGTTGAACCACAAACCCTATAAATTTTCACACAAATGAAGAGCATTATAGAACTTTGCAAAATAAGAAGTATTCGGCACATAGACAATACCCATCATTACAAACCCGTGCTTTTAGATACTTGGTTAGAGTGAATTTACAACCCATATTTCTGCACCCATGTCTTTTATTTTATCCGCTCACGCACCTGTGTGTATATCATTTATTTAAGTAGATTTATTGGTTAACGGTGTAAAATATTATATACAGACGGAGCATAAAAGTTGAACTCTACTCGCATTCCAAATCAATTCATACTGCAATCAACTTATACGTTCAATCTCTAACACACAAACCACGTCATTAGGGGAAGAAAACATGAGTAAAGTAAACAATATAAAGATTCTAAAAACCAATTGGACATGAAAATATGCTTCAGATGTGACAACGAGTTTCCGACCTCAACAAATAGAATCATCTCCTCAAGATCATTACAAAGGAAGTTCCAATCCTAAACAAGGAAAAATCAAAGCAATATAACACTCTAAAACAAATAATAATAATAAGGATAGTTTTAGACTGAGTAGCAATGGAGTAAAAGGCTAAAGGCGAGCATGGAAAGTTGAGATTGAAGTAAAAGTAGCATTGAAGTGATAGATCTAAGGGTAAAAAGAGAAATGAATGATGATACCTTGTTTGTGGCCGGCACCTTTGTCGACGGTGTGGCACTGAGCGCACTTGGTTCTGAAGATCTTCTCGCCGGCCTTAGGGTTTCCGGGAGGAGCTTCATCGAACGACGCCATCGCTGAGGAAGCTTCCAGAAACAAAGCGCCAAACCAAATGCAAATGCAAATGCAAATGCAAATGAAAATGAAATGAGAATATGCTGATACCTCTATCACCTTAAGCCTTAAACCCCACACTGGTTAAATACTTGCCACTTGCCACATGCCACATGCCACATGCCACACACACCTACCCACCGCCTTTCTCGAAAGCTGTACTAGTAAATAAGTTTTTTCCCAAATGCACAATGTAAAATATAAACTACTATAAAATTATTTTTTAAATACAATTTAAATATATTTTATTTTAAAAGTGGTGACTAAAATATATTAAATCACTAAAATTTTCAATGCTTATGTATTTTTAGTTTTATTTTTTACGTTTAAATTCTAAATAAATAATTTAATATTGTATATTTTTAACAAATTTTAAATAATAAACTTTTAAAATCACAAAAACTAAACTAAATTAAGCCATAAAATTTAATTTAGTTTGATTTAAATTTTATAAGATATTCAAAGGCTTAATTACACTTTTGGTCTTCCTAATTTAGTGTAGGAGCAATTTTGGTCCTCGTAATTTGAATTGCTTAATTTGATCTATAAATTTAAATAATGGACAATTTTAGTCTCACAAACAATTTACCATCCAAAATTTAACAAACGTTAATGATATAGATTTTATGCTAAATAAACATTAATTATATATTATTTAATTTTTTATGTGTCAAATTATTTAATATTTAAATTTTAAATTCAAATAACATTGAAAACAAAATGAAAAGGGTATTGATATCAATCGCAGTGAGAATTTTTCACTAAAATAGAATTTTTTTTAATGAGCTGTTAATTTTTATTTTTTTTTTGCGTTTTGGATCTGAGCATGTTGTAAAACTGAATCTAGAACGGCCTATCAATCGCAGTGAGAATTTTTCACTAAAATAGAATTTTTTTTAATGAACTGTTAATTTTTTTTTTTTTTTGCATTTTGGATCTGAGCATGGTGTAAAACTGGATCTAGAACAGTCCGTTCTCCTTTCAGAACGGCTCGTTCTCTTTGCAGCACTTTCAGAACAACCCATGCTTTTTGTAGAACCGGCCGTTTCATATGTTAAAATACACACATGACGATGGATCAAAACGGGCCGTTCTGCTTGGACGTTCCAGTTTCAAAATTAACAGACTATGCGTGCAAATAGAACGACCCGTTCTGGTTGGAGAAACCAGAACGGGTCGTTCCAGTTGCAACATTAACACGTATAAGAAAGAGAAATATAAAATAAATGAATTTAAAATTTTTAAAATTTGAATATTAAATAATTTGACACGTAAGAAATTAAATGATATATAATTAATGTTTATTTAGCATAAAATTCACATTATTAATGTCTGTTAAATTTTGGATGGTAAATTTTTTGTGGGACTAAAATTACTCATTATTTAAATTTATGGACCAAAATTAAGCAATTCAAATTATAAGGACCAAAATTACTCCTACACTAAATTAGGAGAACAAAAATACAATTAAGCCATATTCAAAGTACACTTGAACTGCAAATAATAATTTCATTTAGTTCAAGTAACTTTTACCACAAAAGTTGAAGTAAACATGAATATAAAACACCCCTTTATTTATCGAGAGCAAAACGAACTTAACTTATAGGCCTACCGAAGTTGGGCTTAATGAAACCGCACCCCATGGCCAAAACTTGTACTTGCTGGGCAATTAGATTCATCAAAGGAAATAGAAAAGGTTTGTGATATATGCACCTCATTTTTTCTATAAGTACACCTTCTTTTTTAAAAAAAATAATTAAATTTTAAAATATTCTTAATTTTTTAATTTTAAATTTTAAATTTTAAATTTTACATCCATAATATTTAATTTAGTACTTTTTTTCACATATCTTTCATCTTTTTTTTTAATTTTTACATGCACCCCTACCTTTCTTTCACTACACCTATTTTGGTAGCATGTGAAAACTAAAAGAGAAAAAAAAAAGTGTGTGAAAAAGGGTACTTACCAGAGTCAAATCCTTCACCGGCAAAGAGCCTTTCTTATGCTAGTTATGGTGGGGCTAGTCCTTTTTTTCTATTCAAAATGACTGTAAAAGTATATTCATATTACTCTTAGTGACATTGAGCGGAAAGAGACTTTGGGAAGAAGAGGGGTGTGGGGTGTGGGGTGTGGGGGTGCGGGGAAGGGGGTGCGGAGAAGAGAGGTGTAAATTTAGAAATTAAAATTTTTTTTAAAAGGGTAATTTAGACATTTTATATATTTTTTTTAAAAATTGGGGTGTGTTTATACGAGAGTGGAGGTGTGTTTCACATCTGCCCAAAAATAAGTAAACTGTAACCATTGCATCTTGGGCTTGGCAGATTCAACAGCCACGTGACGTGGGGAGAACCACATAATAAGCTTTGCACTCATATGATTTGGGCCCTCAGAAGAAATTATTTTAGTCAACCAACAAAATGAAAACACATTTCAACCCAAATGATTCAGCTCATTATAACTTAATATACCTAATTCCATTAATAGTTGCACAATTTTTTTAACTATATTATCAATACAGAATATGACTAGTTTTCATTAAAGTATTCTCTTTTAATTACATTTATTCTAAATCTGAAACTTTATTTGATAAAATTGAGTTCAATATCATTTATGCTAATAACTTGTTGATAATTATACAAATCCATCTCTGTTCTATTCTTGCTGGACTTTGGCCGACCCTTGAAAGTTCTTTTGTGTTCTAGATTTGGCCACAAAGTTGGAAGAAACGCAACATCCGAGAGAAGTTTGACCCACTGAGAAATTTACAATAAGGCTAAATGAAATGTGGTATGATTGCAGCAAGTTTCAGAAAGTTCATATCCCTTTATTTGTTAAAATAAATTGATTAACGAACTATCAAATAATTTTATAATTAAATACAATTTTGTATACTTGATCTCATTAGTAATATCATAATAATCAAATCATTTGAATTAGTATTATATAAAAAAAAATATTGATAGTATTTTTTCACTAATTTCACATCATAGTTTATAATTCTATGTTTTACAATTGGGATAAGTGTGTGTTTTTATACCAAACAATACGTAATGATAAACACATCATCATTCGAAAGAAAAGAAAAGAAAATATTATCATCCCGTGTTCAGTGCAAAAGATGACATTTGATCCGGTTATAAAATTATTTGATCACATTCATAAAATAATATTTTATCACAATAAGATATAGTTTGTAAGAAATGATTAGTAATCTCACATCAATATAATTATAAACTTTTCATATAGGGAATTGTTTGAGTCAAGTCAGCAAAATAATTGTTATTGTCGACAACAGGGACTTAACATCATAGTGTTAATGTTGAAACTGTAAAATTATAAACTTTCAAATGATATGTTTATTGTTACGTATTGTTTGGTATAAGATTTTTTTTTCTTCAACTTTTTCTTTTTTTAAAATAAGATATCTAAAAGTATAATTTTTTTAGGGAATTTTGTAAAATATATTTAATTATTGCTTAAACTTTTAAGAATAATATGTTTCTTTTCAGCAAAATTTTGTTTTCACAAGAGAGTTTAATTTTTTTCCCCAAATTGATAAATGATGCTGATGAAAGCTGCACGAATAACATGGAATGAATAGCAGGTTCAATGAAATTTATGAAAAGATGAATTATAATTTATTTTTTCATTTTTATTTTTGTTTATTACCTGCCTATTGTATTTTCCGTCAATTGAAACAGGTTTATGCAATCAATGATTGTATCCTACACATTTCTTAAAGTTTTTATTTATGCTGAATGTTAATTTTTTACTCAAATAATATTATTTTAAAAAATATTTACTCAAATAGTAATAATGTAAATTTATTTCTCTAACTAGCACTTTTTACTGTTTACATTCCAGAACGGGCTGTTTTGATTTTAGAAAGGGCCGTTCCAGATTAAAAAATAAAACATGATGAATGAATCAAAATGGGCCGTTCTGAATTCAAAAAATGCACATAAAAAATGGAATCAAAATGGGCCGTTCTGGCCTACAGATTCAGGCTTTTTTTTCCCGATTTTTACTTATCAAATACCAAAATTCAGATACTACTATTAAGTGATTAAATTTATTGAATATTAACATTATAAATATGACTAAATAAATTTATTAAAATTCATTACAATAATAAAGATCAATGGTGGCGTGACCAGGAGTGTGACAATAGGAGCAATTTTTTACACAATTATGTTATTCTTTAATGTCCATCTCTGTTCTAATCCTGCTGGACTTTGGCCGACCCTTGAAAGTTCTTTTGTGTTCTAGATTTGGCCACAAAGTTGAAAGAAACGCAACATCCGAGAGAAGTTTGACTCGCTGAGAAATTTACAATAAGACTATATGAACTGTGGTATGATTGCAGCAAGTTTCAGAGTCTTTTAAAATTCGCAGGATTTTTTTTCACTAAAAAAGTTCTTTAAAATCCTAATCCAATACACCCTCCTAAAATGCACAACACTCGGAATTAATTTAAATGGAGTACTTGGACAACTTGCATGACATTTTATATGTTTAATGGTGTTAAAAGTTCCATAATATTTATATCGTGCTAGATTTATATACATCCTACACTGAACCAGGTGAAACTTTTTAAGGGGCCCTACTAATTTTAGGACACACACAATTGACAATACGCTATAATCTTTAACAATATCTTCTTCAAATGATGTCAATTGCATGCACGTTCCACTCGAAGCAACCTCAATAATTGTTTCATATCAATTAATTAAATCATTCAGTGATTTATTATATTATAAATACTATAGTTTCTAAATTATATGTCTCGTATTATGTATATGTAATTGGATTATATACTAGTCTTTCTTGAACGGTTATTTAAATGCAATCCACATTTGCTTATTGATCACACACTTTCAATAACTTTCTTGGTTGTGCTAAAAGCCCCTATGGAGGACATGGTTTCTTACCGGGTAAAGACATTCATTGTTATTGATTGTAATTTAAACTTCTTGCATGAGAGAACTAAACACGATTATTAGATTTTGTTCAGATATAAACTTAGAAGAATTTAAATATAAAAAAAAAAATCTACATAGCAAAAAAAAATTGTAAACAATTCTTCTATCTTTACATCCAAACAAAGTCTTATAATATTACAGTAAATGTGATTGTTTTGATTTTGTTAATTACATAGGAAATGGGTGATGATGATTTGTTGGATGAAAGCCTAAGGCACATGAGCCATTTCAATGGAGAGTCGAAGAGAGAGGGTGGCATCATTGTTCAGCAAACAGTTTTCTCCAATGAAAGTGGCAGCCCCTCTCCCAATTCCTCTTCTTCCTCCCTTCAAACCAACTTCGGTGGTGCTGAAACAAGCTTCAAACCCTACTGGTCATTTCCAACGAGTTATGTTTTGTCTTTTGATAACTGTGTTGCTGAACCAGTTTCTACAAGCACGAGACGAAGCCATTATTATCGCAATATTCAACCAATGGTGCAGCCACAAACAAAGACACGAAGAGCTCACATATTGGCCGAGAGAAAAAGAAGGGAGGAATTGACTAAGCTCATCGTGGCACTTTCAGCCACCATTCCCGGCTTGAAAAAGGTAACTTTAGTTGGCTTATGTCCAGAGTTTAGATAATGTACACAAACTTTTAAGTTATAATCTTATTTTTATAGAAAAAAAACTTTAATCCTACACCAATTATTCATAAGTTAAAATAGGATATATAAGTAATAATAAAATTCACTTCATAAATTAATTTTATAAAATTGAATTAAATTTAAATTTACATTTTAAGATAATATTAAAATTTAAAAATTTATTAATGAATCATTTATTGAATTGTCTACAAATCAAGTTCTATAATATTAGGTGTTAATTGGAGAGTGTTTTAAAAAAAAAAAACTTAATTCTCATACATATTGACTAGTGATAATTGAAAAAAGAAAAAAACTTATACATGATTTTTTTGGATAAGTTTCTCTAAAACTGTTTTTAAGAGAAAAAAATAAAATAGATTTCTTTATAAATTATACATAAGTTAATTTATAGAAATTCACTCTTATTAATATCTCCAAAATCTTGTTTTTAACTTATGCATAAGTTAAGTTTTGTTTATGGAAAAAATTTATCAATTTCTCTTCCTCTATTTTCCTTCTAGAAGTGTTTTTTTTTTATATTTTAAATTATTTTTACAAATTCATATAGGGTTTCAATGATTAAGAGACTTTTTAAGTGATACTTAAAAGTAAAATCGTCAAGGCTTAGGTGCAAAGCGAATAATATTTCACCATCGTGAAATTGTATATGAGATAGTCTTATAAAGAATAATAAAGTTATAACCATTTCTTCTTGATATAAATATATCCCTTCAAACAAGTTAAAAATATAACTCCAACATTGGTATTTAGAGCCAATGTTACGATCTATGGAGATGGAAGCAGAAACAAACTTTTCACAAATTTTCTCATCTATCTTTGATAGAGAAAACTATGATCATTAGGTGGTGAGAATGGAAGCATACCTAAAGGCTTTAGATCTTTGGGAAGCTATAGAAGAAGATTATGATGTTTTCGCATTAACAAACAATCCTATTGTAGCCTAAATGAAAATTCACAAAGAAAGGAAAATCAAGAAGGCAAAGGCAAAGAGTTGTCTCTTTGTCTGTGTTTCACAAAATGTTTTTACCAAGATCATACTCTCAAATCAACAAAAGCAATTTGGGATTACTTAAAGGAATAATATGTTGGAGATGAAAGGATTCGAAGCATGAAAGTATTAAATTTAATGAGAGAATTTGAATAACAAAGAATAAAGGAGATTGAGGCAACCAATACTCAGACATATTGTTTGGCATTCGTAATAAGGTACAGTTACTAGGAACACAATTTCTTGATTCTAGAATTGTTGAAAAAAATCTAATAACTATACCTAAAAGATATCAAGCTTTAATAGCGACCTTGGAGAATACAAAGGATATGAGTAAAATCACTTTTGTAGAGGTGTTACATACATTGTAAGCATTAGAATCACTAATGCAAAAAATTGGATTTAAAATTGGAGTTTTAAGATCGGTTACAAGGTAACCGATCTTAAAAGTGACGCGGTGACAATTTTGTAAATAATATGAACACTTTTAAGATCAGTTAAAATTTAACCGATCTTAAAAGCACTTTTAAGATCAGTTATTTTATGACCGATCTTAAAAAGTATGTTTGACACAACTTTTAAGATCAGTTACAAAAGAACCGATCTTAAAAGTTGTATCAGACATAACTTTTAAGATCAGTCATAAAATAATCGATCTTAAAAGTACTTTTCTGTATGTAGTCTAAAATAATCAGTCTTAAAATCAGAACCGATTTTGTATTTTGTATGTAGTATACAAAATCGGTTCTTAAATAACCGATTTTAAAAGTATCGTCAGAAACCTTTTATATTTCCCTCCATTCTCATTCTCTTTAATCTTTCCCTCCATTCCTTTTTATACTCTCTCGCGCTCTCATTTTCTAAAGTCTCCAATAAGGTAAATTTCGTTGTCATTTTCTTTTTCATTTTCGTTTTCTCATGCTCTTCTTGTGTCTCTTTTCATTTTTTCATGTTCTTCTCTTGTCTCTATTTTCGTTGTAAGTTCATTTAGGGTAAATCTCAAATCTGGAACGACCCGTTCTTCAAGGAGAACGACCCGTTCTGCAAGGAGAACGGGGATTGGTTAAATTTATGCCAAACTATGCTAGAACGGCTTGTTTCACACTAACTTTTTAGACCTTTTTAACAACCTGAAACGGCCCGTTCCAGTTTAATTTTTTTCGTAGCCAGGACTTTTAAGATCAGTTATAAAATAACCGATCTTAAAAGAACTTTTAAAATCGGCTCTTTTAAAATCGGTTACGGAACCGATTTTAAAAGTTGAAAATAACTAATTTTAAAAGCCTTTTTTCCACTAGTAAAGGAGGTTTATGAGACAAGAAGGAACTGTGGAGGAATGTGTATATTTAGCTAAATGAAAGAATAACAATGGTGGCAAAAATAAGAACAAATAATTCCAAGAGAATAAACAAAATAATAGCTCTCAAATTTTTCCACCATGTCCTTATTGCAAAAAGACTAATCATCCACAATAGAGATGTTAGGGGAGACTTGATGCAAAATGTAACAAGTGTAAACAATCAGAACACTTAAAATATGTATGCAAATATTATGAAAAAGAAGAAGCTATCATTGTTGAAAATCAACAAGAAGAGAAAGAAAAACTACTCTCAATGTCATTCAAAAGAAGGAGGAACCGATTATAAATCCAGATTCAAGTGAAGAGTACAAATATGTATGTCTTCAAAAGAAATTTGAAAGAAGAGAAAGACGATGATGAAAAACCACTTTCAAAGTAGAAGTTTGAGATAAATACTAAGGTGATCTCACTCAAAAAAAAAATTGCAACAAAAACCATAGAAAAAATAGAAAAGAAGAGACCAATTAAAAGAAGAAAAGACAGTTTTTTTAAATTCAAATTAGGTGACAAGGATATTCAGTCAAAGAGGAGTGTTGGGAACATGTTTAAATATCTCTAGGAAAATAAATTAATTTTAATAAAAATCTTTTATTTATATTTTAAATATTTAGATATAATTTATTTTGATTATTTTAAAAAAAAATTAAAATAAGATAATATCAATATTTAATTCTATATCACAATTTTTCTTTATAAATAAAGATCTTATAAATAAAATTTGATTATACACCTCTAATAAAAAATATATTTTTATATAAAATAACCCATCAAATAAATCACACTCATGTACTATTCGATTTCATGTACAATTTTTGACAACATTATAAAATATGAAGGATAAGTTTTGCTTTTCAATTAATATTCCTAACATGACAAACACATGAATGGTATGTTTCTCCTAAAACTATTTTCTGAGACGCAGATTTAGGAACATGACATTTTCATGTTTCTTTTTATGAACTTTAAAAAATTAATTGTGGCCATTATTTTTTTATTTTCAAATAAATATCATACCATTGCTCGACTTTGTTTTCATTCACGTGATCGATAAGAATGGGTTTCTTGCTTTCTGTCGAAAATATAAGAAATCCAAATGCAATCTAACAAGTAATCTTTACTGAAAAATCGTTTTCACAAATATTAAATTCTACCCAAATATTTTGTCATTTACCTAAAAGTAACATTGTGTGTTTAGGAATATTATTCCTAAATAAACAACTCTAGCTACGTCATGAAACAGGTCACTGTCTCCTAAATAAATATTTAATGGTTAACTTGGCGAATTTTATTTTTCATGCACGATGTTAAATTTGTGAATTGTTTACATATTTCAAACATTAAAGTCCAACCAACTCCACCTAAAAGTTTTGTCCATCTGAAACCATTAAAACACTAATAAATTAATAAATGATTCTCTGTTGTTCCATTATAGTGATCAAAACCTTTTAGTGCACTATGAGGGCTTAAAAGTTAAAACTTATTTGTTTGTTTTTGGTAACATAGTTTATAACTTACAATCATATATTCCTTTTCATAATAATTCATGAATTAAATATGTCTATAGGCAGACAAGGCCAGTGTGTTACGTGAAGCTACCAATTATGTGAAACAACTTGAAGAGCGAGTGAAAGAGCTAGAGAATCAAAAGAAAAATGAATGCGTTGATCATTCAACAATTCTCATGAAGAAAACGTTACTGTGCATGAATGATGGAGCTACTCTTGGATGCGTGGAAGAACTACCCAAGGTGAAAGTAACTGTTTTAGAGAAGGAAATGCTCATTGAAATCCATTGTGAGAAACAAAGACAGAGTATGCTCAAAATAATATTATTGCTTAATAATCTCCATCTTTCTATAACCAGTTCCAGCGTATTGCCATTTGGAACTTCCACTCTTAAAATTACCATCATCGCTCAGGTACAAAACATTTTATTTTTCAAAGTAATATAGTATATACTTTCTCTATATATTTTTTACAAGTCCATTAATTGCCTCGGGAACAAACCCTCATGGTATGTCAATATGTTTCACAAATTTACCGACACATCTCGATCCACATTGGCCAATGAGATGACTATTATAGTAAGAGATGATCATAATAATATATATAATATACTACATTATAAATAAATTTGATAAAATTGAATTAAAAACTGAGACAAAATTATTTATGTACCTAGATACATCACGAGTTAGCCTACCATACAACTTTCATCTTTGTTTCTCCACTTCATATACCAAACTATATGGAGTTTGATCAAAATGTAGAGTAGGATCATTAGGCAAAACTGTAAGGGTCTTAAATCAGTAAAAACATTCTTTCCAAATCTAATATACTTCATGACAATAAAAAAAAATGTGTGATACTAACTCTAATTTTAAGTGACGGAAGAACTATCCACTAAATCTAGTAAAACTCTCCTTTTAATTAAGTTTTCAAAAGTTCGTAATATTACAAATGATCCACCATATTAGAAATGTCTTGGATGAAATTTTGATTTTCCAGACCTATGAGAAATAACATTGTTTTGTCTCCCAAATTTCATGGTGTATAGAGCTTTATAACTCTCATTCACAATGAAATCTCATATGGATCCAACCAGCCATACCCATTTGTCATCTTTCCCTTTATGCATTTTTACATTTTATAAAAGTTGTTGAAAAGCAATCAGTTGATTACTCTCTCATTGGAACCAATTTCTTCTCCAATTAAGTTTCCAAATCCACTTTTCATCCTCCTAACTTCCATGTTTTTTTATCGATTCATGTCATTGTTTCAAATTCAAGAACAACTTAGGGTGAGACTTAACTAAACACTCTTCTTCTATTCAGATGTTAAGTGAGAAATAATATGGTGATAATAAATTATATAAATAAGAAATAATACTTAAATTATAAATTGATTTTATAAGATTAATTTGAATATATAATTATGAATTTAAGAATTACAACATGTTTGTTAGGACAGGAATATAGATGTGTCGTTAAGCTCTTTGGTGTGAAAATATTGTTAGGACAGAAATTACAATTGTGTACAGAGAGAATTAAATTCAACAGCCCATGCTATGCAATTCTGAATTTGTAAACAATTCTATGCAGATGGATGATAAATATAACATGGCAGTTGATGATCTAGCACACACATTGAGACAACTGTTATTGAGTTTGAAGTCACAGGATGTGCAAAAGTGATCCTTGCTTGTTGGTCAAAAAATGACTCCGGAACGTTGCTGTACATATGGAATTGGAAAGTGTTTCAAAATATTGTGGAATGTTGAAAAACTACCGAGAGGAATAATGAATTCGGTTTTGCTTGAGAAACATTTTCGTTGAACATTAGAGATTAAGAAATAATTGATCAAGTGAAATAATAATGCAAATTGAGATGCTAACGGAATTGCACATAAGTGATTACTACTTTCAAATCATTGAAATAAGAAAACACGTTTGTTATTCATTTGCCAAATGACAATATTTTTGGAAATCAGTGTTTAGATCACTCTCAATGTGGACGATATTTTAAGCAATTTAAGGCTATATATAGTAACTTTGAAAGACGAATATCCACTTATAATAATTCTTTATGATATATCTTATTTAATACTTTTCTCTTCTCTTTCTAGCCGTCTTCCAAATTATATATATTTTTATATTAAATTGGTTTGATTAACATTATTGATCGTAAAATTCTTGAAATGACTAAAATATTAAATATTTTTTATACATTATGCAAGAATTATATATAGACAGTGTTAAAAATTTTAGATCAATTTGAAAGATATACTAAAATAATGTATATAAGTGTGGAGACGTTTATTTTTTTAGTTGGATGAGACTTAAACTCACATTTTAAAAGATAGACATGAAATTATTGAGTAAATTTAATTTTATATAAAAAGAAAAACTCTTTTTTATATAGTTACTTCATAAGTTATAATCAATTCCTCATATAAAAATAAGGATCCTAATATTTATTAAAGACTTTCATGTTTAAGTCAACAAGTATCAAAGTCACATGTGAGTGAAAGATATGAATGAATATATCTTTGTTAGGATTGATGACAATCATTAATGTTGATGAGGTGTATTTGAAGATGAACCAATTTTGCATTGTTAATTAATCATATGATTTTGATTAGAAAATCAATTTTGCATGTATGGACTTCAAAAAGGTTATTGAGTAATTTTTATCCATAAAGGGTTATTGAACATTTGAGCCACCAACTCTTATAATAAGAGAAATTGTTAAATATCTCTCTCTTATTATTGCACTAAATCTATTATTTATTTTCTTTCTTTTTTAATAATTTTATGTACATACTCTTATTTTATTTTCCCTCTTTTAACCTTTTCAAATACCTCTCTCTTTTTTCTTTCTTTCACTTATCTTTACTTTTGCTTCTTTTTTCTTTTCTTATTTTCTAGCAACACTCTTCATTTCCCTTCCTTTTTTCTTTGATTGTTTAGCTCTTCTTTTTTGTTAAAAAGTCTCATATCGTTTATCTCAATCCACGAGTTACAACTTATATATCTATTTGACTTCACTCAATCCAATTATATTTAAAATGAAATCTAACATGTATTAAGAACTTATACTTCATTTTTATGATTTTCTTTTTTATTTTGATAGACATTATTTGGTCTCCCATACATTTATAAGGTTTGTGGTAATAAGGTTTGTGGTAATGCTAGATAATTTTTTCTCTTAGATAATATCATTTCAACAATGAATTTGTCCTTATTAATTATATTTTTAAGAGAAACACAATATACATGAAAGATAAAACATTTGTAATTTTGGTTGTGATAAGTCACAAAAAAAAGGAAGGGACAAACAGAAAATAAGAGGTGAAAGAAAGAACAAACGGTGGAAAAAAAAAAGGAAAAAGAGGAAAAACAATATTATTTAAATAAAGCGACAATAGCCAAAGGACAATAAACTAATGTACATAAATCTAAGACATGTACATTTTAAGAAATGTACATGTAGCATTTCAATAAACAAACAAGCCGACCAATTAAATTTAATTCAATTAGTCGAACATTGTGCATGTGTAATTATAAATCCTTTGATACCAATAGCTTCCATAAACAGAAAAGAACAAACACATTCATGCCTTCTTTTTCAATTAAAAAAAAAAACTCAAAACACCATCGATCCTATACAATTCGATAACTTCTTTGATGCACTAGCACGGACCATTATTGCTGTCATACACTTCCAAAAGATATTCTCTAAGTTTTTTCACTAGCTCATCCATGGTCATCTTGTATCCCTCATCCATCTGCATCAATTTAGAATTTCACATTACCACAACATTACAAATTATATCAATCATCATGACAAATCGATATCGTAGGATATTATATAGTCAATACCCATGAAATGAAATAATATTTTATTGGATCAAAGAAGACATTAATTAATTTTATTAGCATTAATTGTTTCATACCTGAGCAATAATGTTGATTACAAGAGTAGAAGAGCCAAATGGTAACACGCTGCTAGTGTTTACAGAAAGATGGAGCTTTCCAAGCAAGGCATGTATTTTGAAAACTGTGTCCTTTTGCTTCTCACAATGGATTCCAATGAATACTTCTTCGTCTAATACTCTTACTTCAACCTCAAACAGTGATTCCGTGTTCGTTTCTCCATTGTCATTGCTTTGAGATTTTCTTACGAGTGTTGCTGAATCTACTCTTTTGTCTTTGTTTTGATTTTCCAACTCTTTAACTCGCTCTTGAAGTTGTTTTGTGTAATTGATAGCTTCACCAAGTACATAGGCCTTGTCCATCTATCAAGTTATATACGAAACCTTAATTACTTACATAATTGTTTTTTCAAGATTAATAGTTTTGCGGTGTAAAAATATTCTATAATGTCAATCAATCACAAATCATAATATTAGTATTTACATGACAATTTCTAATTAATAATGGTATAAAATATCTTTATATATATTTTCGGGTCATAGACTATTTTCTGTTGTTTTTTTAAATAAAAAAATGTTACTTATGCTACTCAAGTATTAATTTACTTATTATCAAAATGTTTGAAAAGATGAAAAATGCTTCCAAAATTTGAAGAAGAAAAAAATCATATATAAATCAAATGTTTGCAAAATAATCACTAAGCCGATTAGTGATGGAAATTAAAATAAATGTATGGTAACTTAGTTTCGATTAAGTTTGTGTTTCATAAATGTACACAAATTAAATATTGAAATCAATGAGAATTGAATTGTAACACATGCAGTTAGCATTATTACATAATAATAAAGAAGTGGACCATGAAAAACATTATTTAATAGTTTTCTCCGGGTGCCATTATATAAGCTCTTGTCTTCTGACATATTTTCAATAAAATACAATTAAAATATTACCCTCCAGTTGTCGCTAAGAATTAATGGTGAAAAAGTAGATCCTAATTGCAATTGTCTATATCACTAAAGTGGTTTATTATTAATAAAAGATTGATTAAAAATTAAATGATTAAAAAATACGACAAAACTGTGCTATTAGTGATATTATTTATTCGACAATATATACTTATATTTAATATAAATCTCATTAATATATATTTACATATATTATCAAAATAAATTTTTAATTTTCATAGAAAACAGCATCACCTACACTTAAAAAATTGTTCCTTAAGCTTTATTAAAAAAAAAAAAAATTAGTTGCAGAAAAGAGAGTATGACATAATAGTTGAATTACCTTTTTGAGGCCAGGAATTATGGCTGAAAGTGCTATGATGCTCCCTGTAAGTTCCTGTCTCCTTTTCCTCTCAGCAATTATGTGATGTTGTGAGTCAGATGACCTTCTAATCTTCTTCTTTGGTTGGGGCTTCCATTCTTCCAATTCTTTCACTGCAGTCCTTTTGTTGGAACATCCCAAGCCCAATCCCTTTGGGGAAGGTTCAATATGTGTGATTGGTTCAGCACTTGAGTTGTCAAAAGACAGAAGGTATGTGGCACATGATGTTTTGAAGGACTTTATGGAGTTGGAGCTGTTGCTTTTGAGGGTGCCACTCCTTCCTCTAAGGCTTGTTGTTGCCTCTTCAATGGACACACTGCTGTTGGTGGAGCTGTTGGAGGGGTGTTCCCTTTCATGCTCAAGGATCCCTCTTAGGAACTCTTCCTCATCAAATGCCCTATCACTTTCATTCAACACTTCATCCTGTGCCAAAAACACACACAAAAATCAATTATGGGCATTACATACTGTGATGGTAATGGTTTCAGCTTTCAGGGACCTTTTACCATTTGAGAAATCCAATTCTCCAATGAATCTTCCATTTTTGCCTCCACCTTAGGGGTTGCAACTTATGTAGGAATTGTTGTGCTGTATATCTTGAATTTAATTGAAACAGGGTTTCATCATTTATATATATATATATAAGCTATTATCAACACACGTGGTTAAAGTAGTGATTATTAGTTTGCCTCCTTTATTGAAATATATAACAGAGGTTTGATTTTAGCAATACTTGTACAAAAAAGAATTATTATTTAACTCAGAAAATTACTCTTATGTTATGACTTTCTAATGTTGAAATACCCAAGTTTCAGGGGGAAAAAACTACTGATAAGTTAATTCTTGTTCTCCATTAAGTCTCCTTCTGAGCGTAAAATGAGAGCAAACATTTGATAATAGCAAGAGAAAAATAGATAATATAACGACGGATATTTAAAAGAAGAGTTAATCATTCCTAGACTGACAGAAATTTTTTTTACATTGGTAACTAATCATATCTTTTAAAATTACTTATTTTATTATTATTTTATTAAATAAGCAACTGACATATCACTATTAAAAGATATGATTGATTGTCAGTATAAAAAAATTTTACACCAGTAATGTATAGGTGATTAACTCTTAAAAAAATGTAAAGTGTTGGTAAATAGAGAAAAAAATTTGAAGAAAAAACGTTGTTTTCATGTAATTATAAAGATAAAACGGGATTATATATATATATATATAT